AATATTACATGTTAATAACTTGATTGGAATTATAACCTTGAATTGACAGTTTGATACTTTGAAAATTTTGAGCCAGCCCTACCCCCAAGGGCTGGAGGTGCTAGTTTCAAATCCTTTTTAGTCTGAAATCTGTATGCTAGATATTGAGTAAGGTGGTTTTATTGTTTTTTGTCACTTTGAATAATATTTCTGTTCATGTTAAAAACAAAATCAACTCTCTGTATAAATATATCAGGTGACCGTTAAGGCCCATGGGCCTCTTGTTTACTTTGAGTATTCTCCCCTTTATAGAGAAGATGGAACAACCTGACAAAGAGTAACTTCCCCTGTCAAGTTTTTCATAAAGATATATATATGGGGCAAAGAAGTAATTCCAACAGTGTAAGTGGACTCCTTTGACCCATGAAGATATATGTATCTATATAGATGCACTGGGGCCCATAAATTGGACACTTATTTTGATGATTTGCTAGTATACCATAATTCCTGTATGGCAACTTTGATGAAGTGTAAGCTTTGTAATGTAAAGGGTCTCAGTAGCAGGTTTCTTGTTTTCTTTAGGGTTTTTTAATTTCTTTTCTCAAACATTCAAATTTTGAAAAACTACAGTTCTATCACATGCGTGGCAACATGTGATTTTAACTGAATATCGCTTTTGAAAAAGTCTTAATAGAATATTTTACAATGGTGATATATGTAATAATATAGTTCAAATTGTTGGTACCCTGTAACTTAAAACTATCAGAGATAAATATGCATTGTCATCCATCCGTCCTTATCCTACGTCAACATTTTCTTTAAATAATTCTTAAGATCCGTTCGTCCGTTCGTTGCTCTCGGATACACCTTGGCATGTTCCATCATCTTGTCAAGTGATCATGATGATCTTGTGTTTTTTTTTATTTATATGCAATGACAAACTGGTGACTCTTTCTTTGCCAACAATTTAATGTATTTTTTTTCGGGATAATGAAAGACTCGCTGTGATAGGATAAACCAATAGTATATGTCTGTTAAAAGAAAGACTAAATAGCACTCAGGATCTCGTTTACAGGAAGATTCAATGGGAGTCCACGATGCCTATTACACCTTCTTATAAGCTGGCACATTTCAAACTAATTCAAAGTTCTCCCAGTTAATTTTTACCAAAGTAGATATAAATGTTTCAATTATTGTCCTGACTAAGTGTTGTTATTTTAGAACTCCAAAAGTGGCCACTATGGTCTGAAGTTGTCAGGATATATATATGGTTTTTAAATTTAGAACTTGAACTTGGAAGTCTTTATTAAAAACGACAGTTGGATAGTTCTAGCATTCATCCTTAACTGTCATAGATTCATATAGAAGTCAGAATTTCAATTCAGTAGTGATCTAATTCACATTTGTACACTGCCATATATGTCTATTTCAGCATTGTTTGAAATGCCTGAAGATGGCAAGGTGTTTTTAAAATCCCAAACCACCATACCGCTTACGATTATCCTGGACCAGATACGAACTCCCGGGAACATGGGCACCATCATTCGTTCAGCAGCAGCTGTGGGGTGTGAGAGGATCATTGCTATGCAAAGTAAGATATTATATATGTTGTAATGGTAGAACTGAAACCATAGGAACCACTTCGTTTGATCAAGTTAAAACAAAAACAGCTCTTCAGTATACTTCTGTACCATAACTGAACTGATAACAAGATTGTTAGGTCACCTGAGCTTTAGCTCAATTGACCTATTGCTATCCGTGTTCCTCCGTCATCGTCCATCGTGCGTCGTTCGTTAATATTTAACATTTTCAACTTAAGCTGAAGTGTTGTCAAAGGGATTTCAATGATACTTCATGGGAATGTTACTGACATCTCCCTGACCAAATGTTGTTATTTTTTAGGTCAATCAGAAATCAAATATGGCCGCCATTTTGAAAAACTATTTCAAACTTAAAATCAAGTTCTACTGGGCCGATATAACTGAAACTTGGTAATATGATCGACTCATGGTCCAGATAAAGTGTTGTTATTTTTCTTGTCAATTAGAAATCTAATATGGGCGCCACAGCCGCCATTTTGAAAAACTATTTCAAACTTAAAGTCAAGTTCTACTGGGCCGATTGAACTGAAACTTGGTAGGAATGATCAACTCATGGTTCTGGCAAAGTAGCTTTTTTTTTTGGGCCTATTCAAAAATTCAATAAGACTGCCACGGCCGCCATTTTGAATAAAATACTACTATTTCAAACTTAAATCAAGTGTAAATAGGCTGATTTTACTGACAAACTTAGCTTAAATTTATATCATATTAAGTCACATACCTTGATAAATACCTTCCCCAAAGGTCTATTAAGTCACATACCTTGATCGGGACCTTCACCCAAAGGCCAAGGTCACAAGGTCCTTCATTCCAAGTTCACAGCCTTGATCAATACTCTTACCCGAAGGTCACCTGCCTTGATCAGAATGATCAGAACAGTCCTCCCAAAAGTAACATAACTTGATCAGGATCCTTTTCCCAAGGCCTAGGTCACACACCTGATCAGATAGCTCAATCCAAAATATCATACTTTGATTAGGACTTTCACCAGAAGGTCAAGATCAATGCTCTCACCCCAAGGACAAATCAGGTGCCCTGATCAGGACCTCACCCCTAGGCCAAAATCACCCACCCAAAGGTCAATGTCACATATCTTGAACAGGTAGCTAATGCCAAGGTCACAACCCCTGATCAGGACCTCACTTAAAGAGAAAAATCACATTCTTTAATCAGGGCAATCCTCCCAAGAACAAAATGACATACCCTCTGTTCGTTCCTTAATAATGACACTCACCCAAAGGTCTATTAAGTCACATACCTTGATCAATACCTTCCCCAAAGGTCTATTAAGTCACATACCTTGATCAATACCTTCCTCAAAGGTCTATTAAGTTACATACCTTGATAAATACCTTTTCCAAAGGTCTATTAAGTCACAAACCTTGATCAATACCTTCCCCAAAGGTCTATTAAGTCACATACCTTGATAAATACTTTCCCCAAAGGTCTATTAAGTCACATACCTTGATCAATACCTTCCCCAAAGGTCTATTAAGTCACATACCTTAATAAATACCTTCCCCGAAGGTCTATTAAGTCACATACCTTGCTAAATACCTTCCCCAAAGGTCTAGTAAGTCACATACCTTGATAAATACCTTCCCCAAAGGACAAAATCATAGGCAACTGTACCTTGATTATGACTCTCACCTAAAGGTTAAAATCACATTCCAAAATCAGGACCCTCAACACAAAGATAAATTGATAAACCTTAATTAGACACTCGCCCAAAGGTCAAAGATCAGGATCGAACCTCCCCCAAAGGTTAGAATCGTAAACCTTGATCAGGACCCTCAACACGAAGATAAAATCATAAACCTTAATTATGACACACACCCAAAGGTCAAAGTCCCATACCTTGATCAGGATCGACCCTCCCCCATAGGGCAAAATCACATACTTTGATCAGGACCAGCAACCTAAAGACAAATCACATACTTTGATCAGGACCGGCAACCTAAAGACCAAATCATATACCATAATTTTGACACCTGAACGTAAAAATCAAATTCCTAAATCAGGACCCTCCCGCAAAGGACAAAATCACATTCTTTGAATTGAGAACAGTCCTTGAGGCCAAGATCACAAATGTAGGTCACAATTAAAACCACTGTGCTCTGTCATAAAATGAGAGGTATATAATTTTGTTGTCAGATTGTGTTGACCTGTGGGACCCCAAGGTGACAAGGGCTGGAGCAGGCTGCCATTTCCGAGTTCCATTCCACCAAAATGTCACCTGGAAATATGTTGAGAACTACATTCCTGTAGGAGCCCGCATTTATCTGTCTGACAAACGAAGGCCAACTGATAAAAGAGTGACAAAATATACCGATCCCATGGACAACGGCAGTAATATTGACTCGCTGGGATACAATCAAGATGACTATGAAAGTGACCCAGAATCAGATCTTATTTTAAACACAAGTTTTAATGACTCGCAAGTGTTGAATGAGTATCAACATGCACCACTTCCGGTGAGTTATTATTCTGAAATGGACTACTCCAGAAATGACCACACAGTCTTGGTGATAGGTGGAGAGACTCGTGGCATCAGTCTGGAGGCTCGCAAACTAGCCTATGACATGTACGGACAGTGTGTCATGATACCAATGACCAATGGAGTTGAAAGCTTGAATACATCAGTGGCTGCAAGTGTGCTCATGTTTGAGATCTACAAACAACTTGGTATGCAGACAAATGAACAGGCAAATGTGGCTGCGAGTGGAGAGGGAGTGACTGTTGAATCTGTGAATGAACCAACAGGTGTGTCAGCAAGTGGAGAGGGAGTGACTGTTGAATCAGTGAATGAACCAACAGGTGTGTCACCAAGTGGAGATGGAGTGACTGTTGAATCAGTGAATGAACCAACAGGTGTGTCAGCGAGTGGAGAGGTTATAAAATCAGTGTCTGTACAAACAGGTGCGTCAACGGGTGGAGATGGAGTCGCAGACACTGTTGAATCTGTGAATGAACCAACAGGTGCATCAACAAGTGGAGAGGGTATAAAGTCAGTGTCTGAACAAACAGGTGCGTCAACGGGTGGAGAGGGTGTTAAGAGCAAGCCCAAGTCAGCAAGTGATGAGAGTATGAAATCAGCTCCTCAAGAAAAGGAGAATCAAGGTGTCTTGAAAAACTTCTTAAAGTCAATATTTAAATGAAAAATTATGAGCTGAAAAAAACTTCAATCTGCTTCCATATATACAAATAGTAGGAGTGGCTAGCAGTGAATTGTGAATGTCTGAATTTTTGTGCATCAGTTTAAAATTATATTTACCATGATGTAATTAATATATTCTTATTCAAACTGTAACACATTCATTTTTATCCCCTGCTTTCACTGAAACAGGGGATATTAATTTAGGTCTGTCTGTCTGTCTGTCACGCTTCGATTCCGTGCAATAACTACAACAAATATTAACCGATTTTGTTCAAACTTGGTCACAGGGTTAAATGCCTTAAGGGCTCAGCCAAGTTTGATGACCAATTTCAGCGGACCTCATTTGGCGGAGTTATGGCCCCTTGAATAACGGAAAACATTATCTGCTGTGCTTCGTTTCCGTGCAATAACTGCAACAAATGTTAACCAATTTTCTTCAAACTTGGTTCGATTTTGATGAAAATTGGTATATAGGGATATTAGGGGACTGCGAATTCAAACGCATATGTTTCGTTGCAATAGCAACCACACACAGGCTTCTGATAGGTCGAAATTTAGATATTGTTTGTTTTTGATGAAAATTGGTATATAGGGATATTAGGTGACTGCAAATTCAACCGCATATGTTTCATTGCCATAGCTACCATTCAAAGGCTTCTGATTGGTGGAAATTTAGATATTGTTTGATTTTGATGAAAATTGGTATCTGGGGGTATTCCGTCTTTGCATATTGCAGAGTTATCTTCTCTTGGGAGCAGGTATTGATTGTTACGTCACTTGTTTGTGAGAGTAACGTCATCAATTTTTGAGAAAACGAAGTAATTTCCTCGCACAAACCAATGACATAACAATCAATCCCTGCTCCAAAGAGAAGATAACTCTGCAATACGCAAAGACGGAATAAGGGGACTGTGAATTCAACTGCATAGGTTTCGTTGCCATAGCAACCACACAGAAGCTTCTGATTGGTCGCAATTTAGATATATTGTTTAATTGTGATGAAAATTGGTATATAGGGGTATTAGGGGACTGCAAATTCAATCGCATACGTTTCATAGCAAATTCTGATTGGTTGCAATTTAGAAATTGCTCAATTTCACTCAAATTTAGTATGTACATTGTAGGTGTACTATGGCAATGCGATCCTTTTCTGATGCATCTTTGCGACGATGGGGGCAATTTGGGGGACATCCGTAATGGTCCCCCATTACAATTAGTACTTGTTGCTGTAGATATTGTTAAGATGTTTCAACAAAATTCCTTATGCACATCCAACTCATGCCAACCGATGTGATTTGTGCATATTTACGGATAATCAATGAGGTATATGACTTTTTTCTTCTTCAAGTTTCAAGCTATGAATTATGTCTCAACAGCAAGATACTCACATGTTTAAACCCAAATACAATAATGTTAACCTACAATATGTCCTGCAAGCGGGGGATATAAATTTCACGAATTTGCTTGTTTAATTTAACAAACCAAAACCACCTTTTTTCTGTACTAAAAGGAAACCTGCCAAAGATAGAGTTTGTTTTGAGCATGACTCCTTCACAAAAGTTTTGTATTCCTACATAAGTAATAATCTATTAGAAAATTAGCAAATTGTGTTTGATGGATAAATGTCATATATTTTTACATTAGAAAAATGTGAACTGAAAAAAAAAATCTTGTGCAAGATGTGTATCACAGGAGTGAAATGGTTTGTAATGACATCACTTAGCCAACCACTTCATGGAAAACTGTTTCTGTTTTAAAAAATTCAGTGTAATAAAAGTGTGTTAGATAGAATGGGGATAATGAGTTTTGAGATTTTGCACTGGTATATTGTGTTTATCCTGTTGTAAGTAGGTTTTACTGACCCGCTCCAGTTTGTAACAGTACCATCACCATATAATTGCCATAAATTGCAACACACAAGGTTCTCCCTTAATTGATAGACCATCATTATGAAGAATTTCATGTATTCAATGGTTATTAAATTGTTTTAAGAAATCAGTGTAGTGTTCCATGCTTGACAAAATGTTCTCAGATGGCACAGAAATGTATGGCCAGCAGAATCACTGAAAACACAACTACTTCCAGTTCACCTTACCTTAGTGGCAAGTGAAGGTTATCCAGATGGCACAGAAATGTATGGCCAGCAGAATCACTGAAAACACAACTACTTCCAGCTCACCTTACCTTAGGGGCAAGTGAAGGTTATGCCATGGCTGCCATGGCTGCCATGGCTGGTCATTTGCATGAACTTTCCATTTTAAAAGGCTACTGATTATGAACAGCTTAAACAATTTTGACAAAATTTGTTATTTAGAGGTTATGTACTAACGTGATACATTGAATTATATAAAAGAAGGATGTGGCCCCTTTAGGAAGAGGCACTTGACCAAACAGGAGATATAGGGGTAAATTCTTTTCCTGTATTGGGTATACTGGTCGTGAGAAAAAACAATTAAATTTCCAGATATGTGTAATTGAAATTATTGTAAAATTTCCAGATATGTGTAATTGAAATTATAGTAAAATTTCCAGATATTTGTAATTGAAATTATTGGTTTGTACTTAATTCTGGATTTAAGTTATGCTGGATTTCCGTTTTGTGATAAATTTCACAGAATGGAAATAGATGAACATGGCCACAAGAAACCGAATGAGTTTCAATTGTTTGACTTATTTCCCTTCTCTCATCGGCCAAGCCAACACTTAAAAGCCTACTCAGAACATCTTCAGTATATAGGCAGTGAGATTTTAACCTTATTTGGTATAACAGATTTCTTGGCCGAGGGGGACAGAGTGTTGTATATTATATAATCCAGAGGGGTGGGGCCCAATCATGGAAATCTTTCACTTTTCCTTCAGTATGAGGAAAGCTATAAATTACTTGTTCACCCCATTCATATTAAACTGGACTTGCCCAATCTTTGATTTGGTAAGGTTCCAATGTGACTATAGGGGTGAATTGGTTTTCTTACACTTCATGACAACATACACATGACATGTACAGTTTTCAGGACCTCTGCTTCAATGTCTACAATAGTGGTAATACAATAAACCATATGCATTATTAGTTTTGAAATTGTGATTTTATTTTAGATTTCACATTACATGTATAGACTCTTTGGAGGTAACACATTCACATAAATGGAATCAAAAATGTGCAAAAAACTTAGACAAAGACAGATAATGCTACACTCGTTCAGTGTTGGAACATGTAGATACACATGAATTAACTCTTTCTTGTACTCGACCCTGAAAACTTTTCATCATTCACAGTGATGTATCGCATATGAAATAATGTTGTTAAAGATTGATGCGTCTAAATAGTTGAAATGAAAAAATATTGGCAGTGCTGATTTTTATGAATAAATAGATGATCACTTCGAAAACTTTTCAAGTGAATGTTCATAAGTTAACAGACAAATTATTACACATAAAAATTCTCTTGGAGCCTGCTAGTAGACCGGGAGCCAACATATGGTAGTTGAAGACAGTTTTGTTTATAATCAAAAGGAAGTAAATTCTTGGTTTTGAAAAAGATTTTTTGTTATACAAACCTGAAACTAGTTGTTTCACAATTTGAAAAGAAATCGATATCACAAAATTTCATGAATTTTCAAAACACACAAATGCATGAAAAACGAGTTTCATTAAAGAATTTATCTAGTCTGGTGTAAAGATATTTATCATTTTTCACCTATGTCTGAATAACGAATACATTAACATCTCGAAGTGAACCATTACCTACGTATACACTCGCCAATCACACAAGCAAAACTCAAGTTATGAAAATAAACCAACCTTACACAAATATCTTTAATTTTTTTCCCCAATCAATAAGCATACACCATATAATCTTGCTATCAATACGCAAACAATGGGGGTCTGGGATTTTTTACATTGAATAATAATAAAAAAAATCTTTGCACCTTTAAACCACAAAAAACAACATATATGCTGCATCACAAAAGAGGACTGAAGGGAATATTGTAATCAGGGGGGACAACCCGCAGCTGAAATCTGCACCTGTACCATTAGTTGATACACAATAGTTAAAGATAAGCATAACTTTATAAATATTTAAAGATAAGCATAATTTTATCACCTATCCCTCTGAGCCACCAAACAATTAAGAGATAGAAATAAGATAAATAGGAAATCTATAATCAGTCTTTCAATTAGAATTAAAAAGACCGTACATGTACAATGTATATGATTCAAGCATGTCTTTTCATACAACACACAAATCATTCATCCATCATTTTCTCAACATAATGTGTGTAAAATTTGTTTTTCAAACTACAAAAAAACGGCAATGAAACATCACTAAATGTTGTTAACAAAATATTGAGTATCGCCACTAAATATGTGCACAGGATTTTTTTCAGAATCTGCAATCATTAATTGTACAGAAAACTAAATGTCAAACGAAGTTGATAACCTTACACATTTGTTTCTAAGTCAATTTCACACAGACATACAAAACTTAATCCTCTCTAAATAAAATCTATTCATATGTATCCGCTGATGCAGTGTTGTATTTTGAAAATATCCCAACAGTGAATATTTTGAAAGTGTCTCATTTTTTATGCATACTTTTCCTCAAATAAATTAAACAAATCTCGGGTTATATTGATTGTGAAATCCAGGAAATTATTTCTTTGACTAGCACTAATACACATTTCTTAAAATACTAAATTTCAGTAATTGTGTGATGATATTTTAATACTTCTAAGTGATATTATAAACTAAACCATGGAAGTTTGTAACACAAACAATTTGTTTTAATCAAAATATACCAGTATGTCAGTTTATGGCGACATCCAATCTGGTGCAAATCATGAGGTGAATGTTGCTGCTAAGTCAAGACATCGGTATCATGTGTATATGATAGATATTCCATGTAAAAAAGCAGTCATGTAATTTGTCTATTCCATGGCATTTCATGAGCAACTGTCATCAAAACGAAGACAACAGCCTGACATGCTCTATGAACTGATGATGTCAAATTTTAGCCTCTCAATATTTTTATTTTTATATTAATATTCATTTGGGAGAAAATATTTGTTCATAAGTGTGTTCAAGATTAGGAAATTCCATCCTTGAGATCCTTTGGGAGCAAAACCCCAAGTACAGATTCAGATATTACTTCATAACCACTGTGATGGAATTTCTCAATATCCTATAACACACATGAAAGATTCTTTGAACAACTATTGAACATAAGCTACCAGCTACCAGTATTTTAATATTTAAGTTGTCCTCACATGTTCAATGTTTCTCCATTACAAATTCACCAGGAAGCTGTTGCATTTTTTTCACATTTTATTGAAACCAAATATGTATTTAATAGTTGATTTTAGGTGGCTTAGATATTTTTAGCGCTAGCAAAATACAGTCTGTGAACAATATATTCTCCAAAACATTTTAAAATTGTGTTTTTCAAAAAGATATGCATCAAACTATCCAGGTAAAGTACATGTGAAGAAGCAACCTAGCCACCTAGTGGACATGGCGTCGCAGTTCTAAAAGGACACTTGTTAATGTTAACGTTCTATCTAAAACCTACTTCCTATACAACTCGTCGTACTTCAAAAAATCTTTTGAGGTAATACACTTGTCCTAGAGTCATGGCTACCAAAACCAAAGCCTCGAAAAATGACCACAGTACCACGCGGGAATTTGTGTTGTCGTTAACTGAAAAATAATAGAGAAGAAAATAAACATTTGTGAGAAATAAGCAGACCTGAATTTTCTTATTCTAACAGCTTGGTTGAGTCGGAGAAAGTCAGAATGCACTAGTACATGTATATATGGAATTCTGTGATACCTCAATACTGTGAATATCTCCAATACATCAGAGACTCAATAACAATCAATAACACTGCTTTAGCAGTTATCTTACACATAATTATTATATTCATAACTAAATCATTGATTGATACCAAAACACCTTTTAAGATTCCACAATAATACCACATCCAATCTATAGGATATGCTGATTACAAAAGTTTGGGTCCTGCAGCACATGATGATGGTTTCACAGACAAAATGAGCTTAAAATCATTTATAGAACCCATCTTTAATATAGAATGTTTATAAGAAGAGCAGGGGTACTTGGCTTCACTTACTTGCTCTGTGGATTCTTTCCCTCACTTCCATGTATTCCTGTTCATGCTTGACACCAGTGAGGGATGTTGACAACTCGTTGATCATCTCTGATAGTTTCTGGTGATTTGCTGAAAATGTCAAAGATGCATAAGACGCTAGAAAAAATATTCTGAAAGTCAGAAAAGTATTTAATCCCAAACACATTTCCAATTTTAATAATATTTATTTAGGTTAACTACAGTTTCAAACTTGTCATTAGAGATCACAGCATCATGCTAAGCCTGAGATTCCTCTGGCCCTGACACCAGACTAAAGACATTTTGAGACACCAGACATCTATCTGTCTAAGACAGTTGTCGGGGCCATAGGAAACTCGGGCTAAGACATGCTAACATTTTCACCATAGAAACTGATCAGAAATGCTAAGTGTGTGGTCATTGAAATCATTAAGTTATTCTAATAAGAGTAACAGGGATGTTAGAAAGGTCCAAACTCAAACAGGTCAATTGAATTATGACTCCTGATAAGAAATGAAGTAAGTAGATCCATGATCCATAACAATGTCATAACAAAATTTATTACATTTTTACCAGTAGAATATTGAAAAGTCATTACCCCGGTATTCTATGAAAGTGATATTTTTTCTCTAGAGAAAAATATCATTTTGCTGAATTGACCAATCAAAACACTGATTAACTAAATTAAGACAAGTATAGCCCAGAGTTACTAAAAAAAGTATGCATTATTATAAACCACTGACCCTCACCATCTGTGTCCCCAGCGTCTATCTCCTTTGGTTTTTCCCCCAGATCCATTGTAAACATGACAATTTTGGGAGTCATGGTTGACATCTTGTTGCTGAAGCAGTATTTGTACACCCCGTCCATATGGGCAGCAAACGTGTATTTGCCATTGGATTCTCTGTCTCCTTGATGAATAACATTTCCATCCGGACCATATATCTAGGAAGAAAATAGAGCAAATATAAGTTGGTAACTTGTTAATTAATACTATATATAGAATTTGAAAGATGGAGCAACAGCATTTAGTATAGATTCCATTGTTTCTTTAGGATTTACAGTAACAATTTGATGTCTAAAATGAGGAATAAAGTGAAATAAAATACATGAAATTCTACAAAAACATTAGAAACAAAAAAAGCACCATTCTTTCAACATAACCCAACAAATAACACAATGAAGTACATTTTTACACAAAATATTATTGATTCTGATGTTTTAGCTTTTTGTTATGATATTGATGATCACTGACTTTGTTTTTCATTGGCAACAATGTGTACCAGGTAGGTCTTGGCTCAGGTGTTTGGTTATAGCCTGAATTTTTCTATGTTCTATTTATAGCTTCTCTACATAGTGATACTGTCTGTCAATTTTACAAAAAGTTGCATATCTAAATCAGACAATCTTCGTGCACAATTGTACCTCATTTATTATTGATTGGATAATATTTACCAGTATATTGAAAGAATAACAACCTATTTTGCTCCTACTTTGTAAAAGAACTTTTCATTTTACTTTAATCCAAATTTCAGTATATTTTTGTACACAATTATTCCCCTTTTTTTTGCTCAAAGTGTTTTAAAAGCACCGTGTGTTTTTATTTCACTTCATTCCCCATTTCAGCAATAAAATGGTTACTGAAATGGGCAACTCTTACCCAAATGCATTAAAGCCATTTTGGTCTCTGTGGAGTATATAACATAACTGTTATAAGCTTAGATATATACATTATTACCCATATGTGCAGGTTGGGGAAAACCACCAACTTGCATATAATATGCAAACTCGCCTATTATACGCCAGTTGGAGTATGGATTTGTTACTAAAAATAACCCAAATCGCTTTAACAGTAACTTTTGCAAGATATTATTAAAAATCGCATCAATTTACGACAAGGTTAATAATATTTTGCTAAAAGCGTTGGCTTCTTAGAAACTTTATGTAACTTTACCGGAAGTATCGCATCTATTTTTGGTACTTTCCCACATGCAATAAAGTTTATTTTTGCATTTGTATTGTGTTTCATGACTGAATAAATGCGACTTGGACAAACAATTTGAAATAGTTAAGATTAAAATTATTTTGGCTGTTTTTAGTAACAAATCCGTACCTCTATTGGCATATTATAGGGGAGTTTGCGTATTATACGCAAGTTAGTGGTTTGCCCTTACCTGATATGTGCCGTTTTGCTTAATTCGTGTAGGAACTCTATCTAAATCAGAGATTTATATCGTTAGAAATCTCTGATTTCGATAGGGACTTTTAGAGTCCTACAGGAATTACCGTTGTGCTCAACCTGTTAAATACATTTCTCGTGATCAGGCTTCTAAAGTTCAATACCGTGTCTATATACTATACATGTTAATATTTGTTTCTCCTCCTCGTTCCCGTCAATTCAGTATTAAGTGCCTGCGGATACCAAAAAAGACCTGTGGTTTGTTTTAGAACTCTTGTTGAAGGAGGATATGAATTTCATACACTACCAGAACCACCTTAATCTGTATCTACTGTTCCCGATTTTCAAAGAACATCGTGAATCATGCATTCATTACGTGTATCGCAACGAGAACTGTTTCTTATTTTACTAGTTTCGTTTCCGTGTTATTACCTTCACATCAATATCCAAGAAACCTCCTTCGGCCACCTCGAACATCAGACTCATTTTCGTCCCTGAAGTCACTTTGTCGAAGAAACATTCTTCTGCATGTGCATCTATACTTACAAAATAACATTCAATTGATTTAAGGGATATAAGGGAGACTAAAATAGCCAATAAATTAGGTAAAAAGTTCATCTTGTAATTATTAACCGGCTTTGACAACACGTATGCTTGTCCACACGCAACAGGATGCCACGTAAAGTTACGAAGTACGCAGGCGCAGGTGCACCGCAACCAACATTTCCTGTTCAATTGATAAATCAGCCTCCTTTAATTCTACTTTTGGCATTGCAGAGGAAATGCGAATGCCTAATATTAAAGAGAAAAATATCAATATTTGAACCAAATAGTTTAATATTGCATTTAATGGGCATATTTGTAAGCATATCTGTGAGTAATGAAAAAGGTAGATATTATCGAACGGACTATCTGACTATCTCTCTTTCTTAATGTAAAATTCAGAGGTTGTGCGAAATTCTTATTTATAAATAGAAGGCGTGACACTCCATACTCTCCGACATTGAAACGTTTGAACGTATTCATAATTGATAACGTACTTCAAAGCTTTTCAACTGCTCAGTCAAATCAATGGGTCGGTCAGGTGCTCGAAGGAGGAAGGTTTCTGACATATTCATGTAATAGGAGGAAATATCGTATAATGCTGACGATCAAATGGAGCCTTATATCGAAAGAAGAGATATAATGGCAGACGAAACAATAGATAATATATCTGTGGTAGACGTGTACGACCAAGCGGCAGGGATTGGAAAAGAATTCGAAAAATTGATCGAGGGTTATGGCGTTGAGGCGGTGACAGATTTAATGCCTAAAGTCATCAAATCTTTAGAACAATTAGAGACGCTTGCTGCTCGATATGAAAAAGAGACCAATGAGATTTCAGACTTGAAATTTCTAATAGAAAAACTTGAAGTAGAAAAGAATGAAAAACAACAAGAAAGACTGCGATATGAAGAGGTTCGGTTTCAAATCAGTTAAAGGGATTTAATGTAAACAAACTCCTCCTGACAGGGCTGATATTATCAAATTTTGTTCTCAAATCCCGGGCTAATTTATATACGAGATCGATATGCATGTGTTTTGATTGATCAATATGTTCTTATTATCTTTAATATATTTTAAAACAGCTGTTATAAACTTTGTACTGACAAGTCTTTTACTGTTAAAATGTTTCAATTTAATATATGATGCTAACTACTTTGAGCACATTCCTCATTTGTCAAATACGTAAATCTGTAATAGGAATATTTGACAGTTGAGCTGAGTGGGTGCGACAAGTCACCGAAACGAACCGAAAGAAGGTCGAAATGGAAACAAAAATTGATTTTAAGGGAATTCAATACTGTTTAGATTGTGTGTGACCGAAACGGACCCCGATCGGAACCGGAACGAAAGTGTATTTTTTTTCTTTAATTTGAGCTGTGTTTCTTTATTCCTCGTGTATAATTCAGTGACGAGACATCACATGTCTTGTTACGTAACATTATTTTCCCCCTTTTATTATTTTTTCTCCATTGGATTTCTTGACTGACATTTTGATTTTATTTTCAATATATTTAACGCTTATCCATACTTATCTCAGCAAAAAGAATACTTGTGACGGTATAGACACAATGTTAAATTTTGTGTAAATGGTTTTAAGTTTTATAAACATTGTCAACATAATTGTGTTCTATTTGTATACCGAATTTTTGGAAATGGGAGAGGAGAGTCTTCTTAGTTTTCCCTCTTAATTTTTTAAAATTTTGTCTAGAGAATGTGAAATTATGGCACATTTGAAGCTGTAGAACAAATCATTATATCATACTGTAAAAGGAACTGAATTGAAAAATGGAATACTTTGAAAGCATGTCACTGTTGAAAAGAAGACAACGAAATTAAATAAAATTAACGTTTTAATATATATAAACAGGCAAATTAAACAATACATATATATAAGATGTATGTTAAAAATTAAATTTTACGAACAAATATTAAATTAGAAATATAAAGATTGCATCAGAAATATAACATTACATGAGAAATAAAAACATTACATAAGAAATATAACATGGACCTTTTCGTAAAAAAATATGTAAATCTATATTCCGAAAGCATCAGCTACACATTGCATGCACCCAGGGCTTGGGATCGCGGACCCTGCTTCTTAAGGTGGCTCCACACTTTCGCAATTAACCAGCAAAATTCGTTGAAACTTTCATATAATTGTTATGCAACTATGTCGAGTTGATTTTATCAAAATCTAAACATTCCGATAGTTTGGGGAATTTTTTGGAAAAAATACCAAAAAATTGAATTTTCGTCAATTCTAATATTTTCCGTTTTTTTCATGTGTGGCATTGTTCTGAACAATAACAACAATAATAAAATGAAAAGAAGCATTTCTAATTAACCCTACAAATATTTTATTTATCGCAAAATATGTAACACATGTTACACAAAGTGTTTTTTATTGATAAAAGTACGGATAAAAGTGATTATCTACAAGCTAAAAGCACCCAGGACACAAAGTTCTATACATATAGAGTGGGAAATTGAACAAAATATACACAATGGCTTTATAATTAATTTATCTTACATTTTACAATCACTTTGATCCGGGTGAGAGTTATCTTCCTTGAAAAAAATCGGAACTTTTTGCAGAGGGGTGACATTTACACAATGACAGTTGTCTCTGTTTACATATAACAAAAATGATGGAAATAAATCAAAAATATGATATCAAAATTATCAATTTATTGTTCTTTAATGGAACCAAATTACCCTCAGTCATGTACACTTTGGACATCATTCCACAGTCCGCTAACTCACGGTATATTTATAATTACATGTCAGACCAGAGGCTATCGCATGGTATACCGTTCTCACGTGCACTCACACATGCCTTTCATAGGTATCTTGATATTTTACAAAACATTATTTTCACAGAGTAAGCTAGTAGATTACATTTGTTAACACGATTTAATCGACAGAGCGGAACTCCCTCAACAGCGAAAATCGTAACGACCTCGAGCTTATGAACTCGTGTAAACACGCGATATGCACATGTGAGGTTGGTACGTCCGCATTCCATGTGTTTCCTATATGACCTTCTTGAGGTCGTCTGGTCTCATGTCACTGTCTTCCCGTGAGTCTGTTTATGTCTATGAATTGGAAAGCTTTATTCCTGAAGTACGTGTGAGTATACATTTCCCGGTAAAATCTTGATATCGGGTGTTGACATATCATCGGCACGCACGTGTACTATTGTTTACCATGGGCCTGTTCGTTTATGCGGAACAACCGGTTTGACCGTTTATAAATGTAACAATTTCGGGTGTAAATCCTGGCTGACCTGCAAATGTGTATGCAGGCCTTGCAAGGCTTTCTCAAGACTCGCCTGAAAGCAGCATCAGATTACTAGGTCCGCCCTTATTTAATAAACGAACAACAGTGGTCCGATCGGTTTGACCGTTTAAACGAAAACCGTCCAGCAGGTGTTACTATAATTTGCACTACGAAATTGAATGCCCGATACGCAATACGGAAATGACGACACGGTGTACATGCACATTTCAATTAAGATAATTGAGTCCTAGCTGTACTTTTTCCGGAAGTATGTCACGAAAATGGACGCTGATGACGATGTGTCGAGCCACCTTAAGCCCCATTTTATTTTTATTTAGTTCATAAATGATAACAATAAATAATCACATGACGACAAATTAAGATACAGGTGCACCGGACGAGGTGACGAAGGTGATTTAAAATAAATAAATAATCTCTATGTTCACGACTACCAATGATACAAAGTCTGTATGATTTGTTCAAATATAAACATACACTATCAATGTATTTTTTAAATATATACACATATCTTCTCTTTAAAAAAAGTGCACCTGACGAGGTGAGATTTAGCTGTGAATTAAATTTAAATATACTTATCGATACAAAATTGAATAATCACATGACTAAAAATAAAGATACAGGTACACCCAAGGAGATGACGAAGGTGATTTATCCAACCGACTATCTCCAGATCTTGTACACCTTGACACAAGAAAAACTACAACAAAGAATACCAGTATGAAAAAGTATGCGTCCAGGATGTCTCCACAGCAACTGAGTTCCCATGTAACAAAACAGCCCTTTTAAGGGCCAACCACTTCCCCCAAAACGACCAATGACGCTCGAAAAACGCCAAAAATCTTGTATCAGAAAACAATATAATATGATAAGATGTATAAATAAGCATTATTTTTACTCGCATATAACATATCATAAATGTCAGGAAATTCAAAGAAAAAAAAACAACAAAAAATTGGGGGTGGGGGGGTTAGGGGTACCCTTAAGACATGTCTTGTCAATGCATAATGTAATGGCTGTCTTACTGCTATTATACATTTTGTTTCCCCTTTATAATAACTTCATATGTTTTTTTTTCTATTCCGTTTTGGTTCTGTTTGTTTTAAATGGTCACACCTGTTATTCACATGTGTTTACTTCGCGTTAAATAACTTCAGATATTTTTTTCCTGTTACGTTTCGGTTCCGTTTACATCCGTTTCGGTCACACAGATTGATGAAATGTATATTTAATACCCTTAAATACATTTCTTTTCAGTTTAGTTTCAGTTATGTTGGTTTTAAACAGTCACACACATTATTCAAAAGTTTGTTCTGTATTCAAATGTATTTATTTCACTTGGAATAATCGTATACCTTTCGTTTTGGTTCCGTTTCGGTGATTCGTTGCACCGAGCTGAGTGCCTGTGTGGGTTTGATGACAAAGTTGATTTGTTCACATTTTTGTGTTTGTAATAAGTATTTAAAAGTGACTTCACTCTGGTTACTCAAGTACACAATATTTATCAGCGACAGATTTTCATGTGGGTGCTCAGGGATTTCATGGCAAAACAAATCAAAGTTTCTCAATTGAGAAGACATCTCTTAAAGCTTAGTATTTTGGGAAGCAGGCCCTGGGTGCATACTGAGAAAAATCAACAGCATTTCTGGGAAAATGGAAATTTTTAAATGTTAAAACTGTGCTGTTTGATACACTATTTAATTGTTTTATCACTTTGAAATATTGGATATACTATAACTGATATAATTTATGTAATAATAATAAAATACCCTTTATTTTTATCAAGAAATAGGGAGTGTATCTGGACAATTGAGGGAAATGTCCTACCATGGGAATATGTCTGTAATTATGTATAAAACCCTGGACATTTTCATAAAAGTATACCTCCTAGAATAAAGCATATTCCTAGAACAAATCTGGATCTGACATTTGCATCTTCATTGATGGACTGACACTACATCTTTTGTGCCAAAAATAAGGATTTTTGTTATCAGATTTCTATGTACCTACTTTTTTGGTAAGTCTGATATATCCCCCCCCCCCCCCCCCCCCCAAAAAAAAGAGCCATTAGCTTGTTAGGAGGATTGAAAAATTATACAATAAAATATTCCTGTGAATAGTGATTTTTTTTAGTAAAACCTTTCATTTTTTCCATCACATTATACAATGTAAACAGCAGTTATATAAAGAACTGTAGATGGTTTATAAATTATCTGTCTGAATCCATTATTTTTACATTTGTTACTTAGGAGTTGGAGAAGATTGAGGAGGAATGGCGAAAGGAGACTAAAGACTTACTGAAATCTGTATCACGACTACAGGAAGATAATCGTCGCATGAAAGAGGCACTGACCGACCAGAAACAGACGATGGCTCAGGAGGTTGCACAAGTTACAAAAAGTAGGTCAATAAAGTTGATAAGATATGTTAATAAGGACCAGCATTTTGGTGCGCATGTACTTCAATAAATGAATACTGTATCAGAGTTATGCCCCATTCTTGCCCAGAAAATGTGACAAAGTCCTTGTTACTTCTTAAAATAGCATGGATTTCAGAGAAACTTTTGGAACATTACCAGGGTTAAATACTCACTGTTTTTGCTTGATAAGTCCACATGACTAGTTGGATACATTGTTTTCTATGTCAGTGTAACTAGTCTGAAATTTCCTGAAGGAAACGCTCTAAACATGAAATATAAAAAGAAATGGATGTAGAGGACACATAAAAACTGTTGTAATACAATAAACAAACATGTTGAAGTTTTAGGAAAAAATTGACAATAGTCATGCAGTGTTTCTCAAGTTTAAGCAGTTTTCTTAATAAATATTTTTTCATTTTATAATCTATGATATGGTACAGTACTAAAATGTGATTTTAACAAGTCTAAAGGACCTGTTATAACAGATGATTTATTAGTCCATGCTAAAATCTACTAGATTAAGACTAGATAACTCCTGTTAGTGTTGAACCCTGGCTAGTCTTGTCCATTATAGTTTTCCTTTAAAATTTTTGAAACAACATTGAGTTATAATCACCATCCTTTGTAGTTGTAAATATCTACCATTTCCTGGGAGGGCTTTCATGGAGAAAAAGGTGATTGGTTCATTAGTATATTTGTGAATACTTGGGAAAAAATATCAAGGCATGCCATATCTATGTTAAATCTGATAGCTTAGAATAAAAGATGTTGGATCAGATTAGTTTTGAAAAGGACCTTTTATATCAACAGACAGAACAGTTTAACAAAATATACAAACAAATCAACATAAAACTCTGAAGAGAACTGTGCCCGTAAATTGTGAAAAAAGGGCCTAAAATTATTGGAGTTTTTATATTATGAATTATTTATTTATAGTAACTGAAGAGAAAGAGATAGAAGTGCTAATAAAATTAAAAGACACAGTTGACAAACAACGAGAAGATTTACGAAAAACAAAGCAGGATCTTAAGGAGAAGGCTATGGATTGTGATGCTGTAAGTACATGTAGTGTACATAAGTAGACAATTACTTTATAAAAGAGAAAAGACCTCTTGTCTTACTGCTCTAATGTGATCACTTACCACATCGACAATACCAGGCTTAGTTAAGTAGTTAAGTATAACACTGGATTTAAAGCCTCCAATACCAGGCTTAGTTAAGTAGAAGACTGGATATAAAGCCTACAATACCAGGCTTAGTTAAGTAGAAGACTGGATTTAAAGCCTACAATACCAGGCTTAGTTAGGTATAACACTGGATTTAAAGCCTACAATACCAGGCTTAGTTAAGTATGAGACTGGATTTAAAGCCTACAATATCAGGCTTAGTTAAGTAGAAGACTGGATTTAAAGCCTCCAATACCAGGCTTAGTTAAGTATGAGACTGGATTTAAAGCCTACAATACCAGGCTTAGTTAAGTATAACACTGGATTTAAAGCCTACAATACCAGGCTTAGTTAAGTAGAAGACTGGATTTAACGCCTACAATACCAGGCTTAGTTAAGTAGAAGTCTGGATTTAAAGCCTACAATACCAGGCTTAGTTAAGTATGAGACTGGATTAAAGCCTCCCATACCAGGCTTAGTTAAGTATGAGACTGGATTTAAAGCCTCCAATACCAGGCTTAGTTAAGTAGAAGACTGGATTTAAAGCCTACAATTCCAGGCTTAGTTAAGTATGAGACTGGATTTAAAGCCTACAATACCAGGCTTAGTTAAGTATGAGACTGGATTTAACGCCTCCAATACCAGGCATAGTTAAGTATGAGACTGGATTTAAAGCCTCCAATACCAGGCTTAGTTAAGTATGAGACTGTATTTAAAGCCTCCAATACCAGCCTTAGTTAATTAGTAGAAGACTGGATTTAAAGCCTCCAGATCTGTGCCAGAACATTGCTATTTTATTTGAAGAAGATCATAACTCATGTGTTGATTAAAGTTAAATAATGATTCTATATTTGGAAAACTGGTTCAAATTCAAGATTGACATAATATCATGATGGTAACAGTTTGTTTCTAATTGGTTAATGTCATGAGGTGCACAAATATCAAATATTCCTCATTTATCATATATAAAACAAAACGAATGATCTACATGTTTCTTGCTTTAATAGTTTATGTGCTATTTATTGATAATCGTTATATCTTTGTTGAATTATCCCAATCATAGCTGGAATCACAACTGGAACAAATAGTGAAAGTTAATTCTGAATTAAGGAGGAAAAACAATACCCATAAAAAACAAACAAGAACTTTACTGGAGGAAAAGGTTGACCTAGAAACTCAGCTAGCGGACAAGGAACAGCAGATTTCACACATTAATGAGGCGATCAAAGAGCAGGAGGCTATTGAGGAGGAGAAAAAGGCCAGCAGCCGAAAACAAACGTTATCTGATGCCAGTGCTGAGGTAAGTAGGGATTACCCAAGGGAACAAAAGTTATCTGAGGCCAGTGCTGAGGTTAGGGGGGATTACCCAAGGGAACACATATATCTGAGGATAGTGCTGAGGTAAGTGGGGATTACCCAAGGGATAACAAATTATCTGAGGCCAGTGCTGAGGTAAGTGGGGATTACCCAAGTGAACACAAGTTATCTGAGGCCAGTGCTGAGGTTAGTGGGGATTACCCAAGGCATAACACATTATCTGAGGCCAATGTTTAGGTTAGTCAGGATTACCCAAGGAAACACAAGTTATCTGAGGCCAGTGCTGAGGTTAGTGGGGATTACCGAAGGGAACACAAGTTATCTGAAGCCAGAGCTGAGTTAAGGTGTTATTACCCAAGGGAATGCAAGTTATCTGAGGCCACTACTGATGGTGCGTATGATCTTTGCAGCCTTTTCACTGGTCCTAATTATGAAAATAGTATGTGTAAAAATAAATTTCTATATCTCGAAGACCTTGAAGAAGATGCTTCTATATTCATCACTTGTTTTCATCCGCAATTATATTTATTAAAGGAGGATCATGACCAGGTAAACAATTTACCTCAGGATTTGAATGACGAGTTTTTGAGTGAAGATGTGGCTGACGGTAATGTTGATGGTACCACACCCCTGAATCAATTAGAGGGTGAAAACATGGCCGTCCTTCAACATAAACTCAGCACTATAGGCAAAATGGTGATCGACATGAAGGACCCTAACCGCCCACGATTCACCCTCAATGAACTGAGGACAGTGTTGATGGAGAGAAATGAACTTAAAACTAAGTTAATAGAAGTGGAGGAGGAACTGACCTCATTTAAACCAAAGTAAGTATTACCTTTGGTTCAGAACTCCCCTCTCTTAACAAGGTAAACCAAAGTAAGTATCACCTTGGAGAGAGTAAATTACCTGTCTTTAACGATGTGATATAATTACCAGCTTACCCAGCCTTCTGTAACCTGTTCCCTGTACTGTGTACTGATGCTGATGATAGAGAGATCTTGTTACTAACCTGTGTGTTGTGATTTCCAGTTTAGTTATTACATAAATTGTTTGGTGAAGTTATCACCTTGCTCAGCCTTGTGATATTGTTAACACTATTTTACTAAAAGTTTTGATACTGTTACCACAAGTTTACTAACCCTTGTGATACTGTTACCACAAGTTTACTCACCCTTGTGATACTGTTACCACAAGTTTACTCACCCTTGTGATACTGTTACCACAAGTTTACTAACCCTTGTGATACTGTTACCACAAGTTTACTAACCCTTGTGATACTGTTACCACAAGTTTACTCTCCCTTGCGATACTGTTACCACAAGTTTACTCTCCCTTGCGATACTGTTACCACAAGTTTACTCTCCCTTGTGATACTATTACCACAAGTTTACTCACCCTTGCGATACTGTTACCACAAGTTTACTCACCCTTGCGATACTATTACCACAAGATTACTCACCCTTGTGATACTGCTACCACAAGATTACTCACCCTTGTGATACTGTTACCACAAGATTACTCACCCTTGTGATACTATTACCACAAGATTACTCACCTTTGTGATACTGTTACCACAAGTTTACTCACCCTTGTGATACTATTACCACAAGATTACTCTCCCTTGTGATACTATTACCACAAGTTTACTCACCCTTGCGATACTGTTACCACAAGTTTGCTCACCCTTGCGATACTATTACCACAAGATTACTCACCCTTGCGATACTGCTACCACAAGATTACTCACCCTTGTGATACTATTACCACAAGATTACTCACCCTTGTGATACTGTTACCACAAGTTTACTAACCCTTGTGATACTGTTACCACAAGTTTGCTCACCCTTGTGATACTATTACCACAAGTTTACTCAACCTTGCGATACTGTTACCACTAGTTTACTCACCCTTGCGATACTATTACCACAAGATTACTCACCCTTGCGATACTGCTACCACAAGATTACTCACCCTTGTGATACTGTTACCACAAGTTTACTCACCCTTGTGATACTATTACCACAAGTTTACTCACCCTTGTGATATAGCTTCCACTAATTTATAAATTAAATAATATTGTATGATAAAAGTATCTGTTTATTTATTTGTGTTTCTATGAATACACTGTTCTGGTGTTACTATGAATACACTGTTCTGGTGTTACTATGAATACACTGTTCTGGTGTTACTATGATTACACTGTTCTGGTGTTACTATGAATACACTGTTCTGGTGTTACTATGAATATACTGTTCTGGTGACACTATGAAAATACTGTTCTGGTGTTACTATGAATACACTATTCTGGTGTTACTATGAATACACTGTTCTGGTGACACTATGAAAATACTGTTCTGGTGTTACTATGAATACACTGTTCTGGTGTTACTATGAATACACTGTTCTGGTGTTACTATGAATACACTGTTCTGGTGTTACTATGAATACACTGTTCTGGTGTTACTATGAATACACTGTTCTGGTGTTACTATGAATACACTGTTCTGGTGTTACTATGAATACACTGTTCTGGTGTTACTATGAATACACTGTTCTGGTGTTACTATGAATACACTGTTCTGGTGTTACTATGAATACACTGTTCTGGTGTTACTATGAATACACTGTTCTGGTGTTACTATGAATACACTGTTCTGGTGTTACTATGAATACACTGTTCTGGTGTTACTATGAATACACTGTTCTGGTGTTACTATGAATACACTGTTCTGGTGTTACTATGAATACACTGTTCTGGTGTTACTATGAATACACTGTTCTGGTGTTACTATGAATACACTGTTCTGGTGTTACTATGAATATACTGTTCTGGTGACACTATGAATATACTGTTCTGGTGTTACTATGAATACACTGTTCTGGTGTTACTATGAATACACTGTTCTGGTGTTACTATGAATATACTGTTCTGGTGTTACTATGAATACACTGTTCTGGTGTTACTATGAAAATACTATTCTGGTGTTACTATGAAAATACTATTCCACTGTGTCGCTATAAGTATTTTGTTCTGATGTTACTATATATAACTATTCTAGTGTATATATGTAATACTATTACAGGGTTGCTATTTATATATTGTTCTGGTGTTACTATGAATATTCAGTTCTGTTATAACTAAAATTATACTGTTCTGATGTTACTATAAGAATGCTTTTCTGGTGTATTTCACTGCTGTTCTGATGTTATTATTAAATAATTGTTCCGGTGTTACTATTACACCACTGTTCTGGTGCTACTATTGCATTGCTGTTCTGGTGCTACTATTGCATTATTGTTCTGGTGTTACTATAAGTATACTGTTCCTATGTTACTATTACATGGCTATTCTGGTGCTACTATTGCATTGCAGTTCTGGTGCTACTATTGCATTATTGTTCTGGTGTTACTATAAGTATACTGTTCCTATGTTACTATTACATGGCTATTCTGGTGTTACTATTACATTGCTGTTCTGGTGCTACTATTGCATTGCTCTTCTGGTGTTACTAAGTACTACATTGCTCTTCTGGTGTTACTAACTACTACTTTGCTGTTCTGGTGTTACTATTACATTGCCTTTCTGGTGTTACTATCACATTGCTGTTCTGGTGTTACTGTATAAGCTGTGGTTGTTATGGTGTTGCTGTTATCTGTGGTTGTTATGGTGTTACTATATAAGCTGTGGTTGTTATGGTGTTACTATATAAGCTGTGGTTGTTATGGTGTTACTATAGATAATCTGTGTTTGTTATGGGGTTACTATATAATCTGTGGTTCTTATGGTGTTACTATATACGCTGTGATGTTATGGTGTTACTATATAAAGTGTGGTTATTATGTTGTTACTATATAAGCTGTGGTTGTTATGATGTTACTATATAAGCTGTGGTTGTTATGGTGTTACTATATAAGCTGTGGTTGTTATGATGTTACTATATATGCTGTGTTGTTATGGTGTTACTATAGATAATCTGTGTTTGTTATGGGGTTACTATATAATCTGTGGTTGTTATGGTGTTACTATATATGCTGTGTTGTTATGGTGTTACTATATAAAGCTGTGGTTGTTATGGTGTTACTATATGTAAGCTGTGGTTGTTATGGTGTTACTATATATAAGCTGTGGTTGTTATGGTGTTACTATATAAGCTGTGTTGTTATGGTGTTACTATATAAGCTGTGGTTGTTATGGTGTTACTATGTATAAGCTGTGGTTGTTATGGTGTTGCTGTTATCTGTGGTTGTTATGGTGTGGCTATAATCTGACAACTGTTTTACTTGTCTGTCCTCTCTTCAGACTTGATGCTGACTCAGCCAATGCATGCCTTGAAACCTCTACTGACTCCATGTAAGTTACTTTGCCACCTATCTTCTTCATAAACTTCCTTTCTACATTTGCTCGTTCATGTTACACAGGTTAACATTGTGTGCATGCTAAATTTTAATGGCATGGTCAGGCATAACTCAATTGTTAGGTATTTTGCCTTGATCCTAGTTAAATATACTGATCCACTAACATTTTATATTGTATTCCATGTTAGAGAAACTCCATGTTACTGTGTGTAGTCAGAACCTCCATGTTACTGTGTGTAGCCAGAACCTCCATGTTACTGTGTGTAGTCATAACCTCCATGTTACTGTGTGTAGTCAGAACCTCCATGTTACTGTGTGTAGTCAGAACCTCCATGTTACTGTGTATAGTCAGAACCTCCATGTTACTGTATGTAGCCAGCACCTTCCTGTAGGTGACAATTGTTAACTATCAAGCTAGATTGTGTTGGTTTATATTCCTATGTGACCAGCTGAGCATACTGACACACATGTATGTATAATGACACACCTATATGTTATAATGACACACCTGTATCTGACACACCTGTCTAAGTACCCTGTATATACTGACACAACTGTGTATGACAAAGCTGTTGAATGACCTTGTATATACTTACACACCTGTATATGACCACCTACCTGTCCAAGGACCCTGTAATTACTTACACACCTGTATATGACCACTTACCTGTCCAAGGACCCTGTATGTACTGACACACCTGTATATTACCACCTACCTGTCCAAGGACCCTGTATGTACTACCACACCTGTATTTGACCACCTACAGTACCTGTCCAAGGACCCTGTATGTACTGACACACCTGTATATGACCACCTACCTGTCCAAGGACCCTGTACAGTGTGTATGTACTGACACACCTGTATATGACCACCTACCTGTCCAAGGACCCTGTATGTACTGACACACCTGTATATGACCACCTCCCTGTCCAAGGACCCTGTATATACTGACACACCTGTCTTTGACCACCTACCCGTCCAAGGACCCTGTATGTACTGACACACCTGTATATGACCACCTATCTGTCCAAGGACCCTGTATGTACTGACACATCTGTGTATGACCACCTACCTGTTCAAGGACCCCATATGTACCGACACACCTGTCCAAGGACCCTGTATGTACTGACACACCTGTGTATGACCACCTACCTGTCCAAGGACCCTTTATGTATTGGCACACCTGTGTATGACCACATACCTGTCTAAGGACCCTGTATGTACTGACACACCTTTATATGACCACCTATAGCTACCTGTCCAAGGACTAAGGACAGACTATACAGAAGTCCCTAAGTATTTTACAGCCTGTGTATACAGGTATCTCATTGTTTGGGAGATCCTAGTGTATGTACATATTATAGTAAGGTATGCTATCACCTGCTTTATTAACATTGTCCTCTTGCTTTTGAGGAATTCCTACAGTGGGGAGGATGACCTTCCAGTCCAAGGCCCTATCAACAAGGAGCCAGATGAGAAACTTTACCCAGGCCTCAAACGGGAGACAGGCATACGCAAATTGTAAGTACACCTCTTTCTTACTTTAACTAAATATCTGTTGTGGATTTGCTGGTGGAATGATGAATGACATGTGATCTTTTCATGCAAATAATTGACAACTTTGCAATATATCACAGGATTGATACAATAAAACACAATAGACATCACAGGATTGTAAACATTTAAATACAATAGACATTACAGGTTTGTAAACATTTAAATGCAGTAAACATAACATGATTGTAAACATTTAAATACATTACACATCACAGGATTGTAAACATTTAAATACATTACACATCACAGGATTGTAAACATTTAAATACAGTAAACATCACAGGGTTGTTAATATTTAAATACAATACACATCACAGGATTGTAAACATTTAAATACATTACACATCACAGGATTGTAAACATTTAAATACATTACACATCACAGGATTGTAAACATTTCAATACAATATACATGTAAACATTTAAAGCATTTAAATACAGTAGACATCACAGGATTGTAAACATTTAAGTACAGTAAACATCACAGTATTGTAAACATTTAAATACAATAGACATCACAGGATTGTAAACATTTAAATACAGTAAATATCACAGGATTGTAAACATTTAAATACAGTAAACATCACAGGATTGTTAATATTTAAATACAGTAAACATCACAGGATTGTAAACATTCAAATACAGTAAACATCACAGGATTGTAAACATTTAAATGCAGTAAACATCACAGGGTTGTTAATATTTAAATGCAGTAAACATCACAAGATTGTAGACATTTAAATACAGTAGACATCACAGGATTGTAAACATTTAAATACAGTAAACATCACAGGATTGTAAACATGTAAATACAGTAAACATCACAGGATTGTAAATATTTAAATGCAGTAAACATCACAGGATTGTAAACATTTAAATGCAGTAAACATCACAGGGTTGTTAATATTTAAATGCAGAAAACATCACAAGATTGTAGACATTTAAATACAGTAGACATCACAGGATTGAAAACATTTAAATACAGTAATCGTCACAGGATTGTAAACATGTAAATACAGTGAACATCACAGGATTGTAAATATTTAAATGCAGGAAACAGCACAGGATTGTAAACATTTAAATGCGGTAAACATCACAAGATTGTAGACATTTAAATACAGTAGCCATCACAGGATTGTAAACATTTAAATACAGTAAACATCACAGGATTGTAAACATTCACATACAACAGAACACATGTATGTTGGTGCATTGTTGACATGTTGGCAGTCTCCTGCCCTATTATATAATCCGGATTGGGAAATACAGAGTCAACAGGATGTCTTTGTAAAATTAGGTTGAAGATTTCCATATAGGTGTTTTGTAGGTGAAATGGTCAGCATTGTATGTGCATGTAATTTAATAAGCATGGAAATGTCGTGTTTTGAAATCTCTTATTTTACTTAACCAACTTTTAATAAAAGCCTATAGATTAGTGATTTAAAATATCTACATTCTGTCGTTTATCTGGAGCTACAGCTTGGTTTCTTCATTAGAGATTTAAATGTGAAAAGGACCCTCAGTTCACTTGTATGGTCACATAATCATTTCTCTCCAATTACAGTTCCAAGTTATTTCCTTCAGTCTTGTTTGAGCCTAAGTTCTTACATACATTACCTTGAAGTGTCGTAGAAAATAGTATAACAACATGTTAACATCAACTTTTTCATTACTACAATGTTCCTGAGAGGTATTTATTACTAGACTTTAAAATAAATCTTTTAAAAAACAATTCGGAAGAATTCTATGTTTTGTAATGAGAATCCTGAAATATATAAACAACAAAGATTGTCTTTATATATGCAAATAGAGGAAGTGTTTTATGGCTATGAGCTATCCCTGTGCAATGTGGACCAGAACACACAAGCCTAAACTGAATATCAAGTGAAAACAACTAACATTTGGAAGTGTTTTTTTTAGCTCACCTGCCCAAAGGGCAAGTGAGCTTATGCCATGGTGTGGCGTCCGTCGTCCGTCCGTCATCCGTCTGTCCGGCGTCAACTTTTTACTTTAAACAACTTCTTAGTAACCAAAAGGCCTAGGATGATGATACTTGGCCAGTAGCATGCTGGAATCAAGGGCTACCAAGTTTATTCAAATAAATGACCTTGACCCACTTTCAAGGTCACAGGGGTCAAATATATCAAAATCTTCAAACAACTTCTTCTCGATAACCAAAAGGCCCAGAGTACTGATATTGGGCCTGTAGCATGCTGGGATAAAGGGCTACTAAGTTTGTTCAAATGAATTACCTTGATCCACTGTCAAGATCACTGGGGTCAGATGTCTTAAAATATTCAAACGACTTCTTCTCGATAACCAAAAGGCCCAGGGTACTGATATTGGGCCTGTAGCATGCTGGGTTTAAGGGCTACCAACTTTGTTAAAATAAATGACCTTGACCAATTTTCAAGGTCACAGGGGTCAAATGTCGTAAAATCTTCGAACGACTTCTTCTCAATAACCAAAAGGCCCAGGGTACTGATATTGGGCCTGTAGCATGCTGGGATGATGGACTACCAAGTTTGTTAAAATGAATGACCTTGACCATCTTTCCAGGTCATAGGAGTCCAATGTCGTAAAATCTTCAAACGACTTCCTCTCAATAACCAAAAGGCCCAGGGTACTGATATTGGGCCTGTAGCATGATGGGATGAAGGGCTACTTAGTTTGTAAAAATGAAAGACCTTGACCCAGTTTCAAGGTCACTGGGGTCAAATATATCAAAATCTTCAAACAACTTCTTCTCAATAACCAAAAGGCCAAGGGTACTGATATTTGGCCTGTAGCATGCTGGGATGAAGGGGCTTCCAAGTTTGTTCAAATGAATGACCTTGATCAACTTTCAAGGTGACAGGGGTCAAATGTCTTAAAATCTTCAAACAACTTCTTCTCAATAACCAAAAGGCCAAGGGTACTGATATTTGGCCTGTAGCATGCTGGGATGAAGGGGCTTCCAAGTTTGTTCAAATGAATGACCTTGACCAACTTTCAAGGTGACAGAGGTCAAATGTCTTCAATCTTCAAACAACTTCTTCTCAATAATCAAAAAGCCCAGGGTACTGAAATTGGGCCTGTAGCATGCTGGGATGAAGGGCTACCAAGTTTGTTCAAATGAATTACCTTGACCTACTTTCAAGGTATTTCACACCTAATGTCCTTGTTCGACATTCAAGGTCACAGGTGTAATGTTTAAATCTTTTAATAATTTCTTATGAATCAAACACTGATATTCTGCCTGTAGCTGTAACTTTTAGTCCACTTTTACGATACCAAGTGTGAGATTAATACCAGGTGAGCGATGCAGGCCCATTGGGTCTCTTGTTTCATTTTACAGTGTGAACTGTAGTGTTTTTAGCTCACCTGCCCGAAGGGCAAGTGAGCTTATGTTATGGTGCGTCGTCCGTCCGTCCGTCGTCCGTCTGTCCGGCGTCAACTTTTTACTTTAAACAACTTCTTCTCAATAACCAAAAGGCCCAGGGTACTGATATTGGGCCTGTAGCATGCTGGGATGAAGGGCTACCAAGTTTGTTCAAATGAATGACCTTGACCAACTTTCAAGGTCACTGGGGTCCGATGTCTTAAAGTCTTCAAACAACTTTTTCACAATAACCAAAAGGCCCAGGGTACTGATATTGGGCCTGTAGCATGCTGGGATGAAGGGCTACCAAGTTTGTTAAAATGTATATACCTTGACCAACTTTCAAGGTCACTGGGGTCAGATGTCTTAAAATCTTCAAACAACTTCTTCACAATAACCAAAAGGCCCAGGGTACTGATATTGGGTCTGTAGCATGCTGGGATTAAGGGCTACCAAGTTTGTTAAAATGTTTGACCTTGACCAACTTTCAAGGTCACTGGGGTCAGATGTCTTAAAATCTTCAAACGCCTTCTTCTCAATAACCAAAACGTCCAGGGTACTGATATAGGGCCTGTAGCATGCTGGGATAAAGGGCTACCAAGTTTGTTCAAATGAATGACCTTGACCAGCTTTCAAGGTCACAGGGGTCAAATGTTTTAAAATCTTTAAACAACTTCTCAATAACCAAAGGCCCAGGGTACTGAAATTGGGCTTGTAGCATGCTGGGATGAAGGACTTCCAAGTTTAATCAAATGAATGACCTTGATCTACTTTCAACCTGATGTCCTTGTTCGACATTCAAGGTCACAGGCGTCATATGTTTAAATCTTTTTATAGGTTCTTATGAATCAAACACTTATATTCTGCCTGTAGCTGTATTTTAGTCCACTTTTAAGATTACAAGTGTGAGAGTAATACCAGGTGAGCGATGCAGGCCCATTGGGCCTCTTGTTCTGTCATAGATTTGTTATAGTTGTTCAAATGTCAATTATTGTATACAAAAAAGAAAGCAGTTATATATTTTACAATTACCTGAAGTATATTTTTCACTTGATATGTGTACACATACTGTATCACTGCTTTCTGTATTGTTTCCTATAGTCTTGATTTCATAAGTTGTTTCTATATCAAGTCTCTATATATATAAATGTCAACAGTAGGCTTTCTTCATTTGTGATTCAATTATATTAATTATCTAGAATGTTTGAAATTCAGATTTGTTCATCAAAATCTAATATATCAGGAACTCATCTATGTTAAAACATTTCTTATAACTTGAAGAGAATTTTTTTAGGAAAAGTTTGTTTAAGGTAGCGGGTACCACTACATCCGTTATAATTACAAAGAAGAATTCCACTATGAGTTTGTTTTACTTCTTTGAGTATTCTCCCTTCTATATAGAAGATAAGCTGACTTAGAGTAACTTTTCCTGTCAAGATTTTAAAATTATTTACTGCCCATAAATTGGATACTCCTGTTGATGATGTGCTTGTATAATTTCTCTATGGCAAGCATTGGTAAATTGTTCGCATTGCAACGTACAAGTCCGGAGTCCAACCCCTGTAGTTTTCTTCTGTTTTTTTTTCAATTCTGTTTCAAACATTCCAATTTCAAATAACTACAGCTCGGTCAAATGCTTGGCAACATGTGAATTTCATGGAATATTTCTTTTGAAAAGGTCCTTAACCTTAAGTAGTGGTAATAATAAAGTCGAACCTGTCGGTACCCTTTAGGTTAAACAGTATGCATGAGGCTGTATCGTTGAAGTGATAATTACATTGACTTGAAACAGGAACTTTAATGTTTCAAGATTATCTGAAGCCTTGTCACATCTTGCCACCTGATTTCAACAATACACTTGGAAATGGCTGCAACTGATATTATCTGGTTCTGTTTTTGCACCCAGATTGGTATCTTTCAAAAGATTTCAGACAGCCATTCAAGCAAATTTGAATTGGTTTGAAACCAGAGAAAATTTTCTGAAGCATTTAATGAACTTATATATGTGAGGTTTATAGGACTGTGTGCTTCATTTTCATTGCACTGATGTAAGCATGTTTACAATATGTAGAATCTTAAAGCTTTATGGAAAAGTTAAGAGAATTTGATTGGGAAAAATAATCACCATTGACTATGTTTATAAATTCATCATCATACATGTGTCAAGCATGGACACAGGAAGAGAGTTCTCAGTGTTAACTCTTTCTAAGCATTTTATCTTGGGTCAATGACGTACTTAGTGTTCGGAAGATCTGTTATATATTTGTTTTGATTAGTTACTTAGTTCAAAGATGTAATATTGCTTGGATATCCGGGTAACTTAGACATCATGTGTGTAGTATAGTATGTGTGTGTAGACTTACAGCCAGACAGTACCGAGACGACTTACAGCCAGACGGTACCGAGACGACTTACAGCCAGACAGTACGGAGACGAATTACAGCCAGACAGTACGGAGACGACTTACAGCCAGACAGTACCGAGATGACTTACAGCCAGACAGTACCGAGACGACTTACAGCCAGACAGTACCAAGACGACTAACAGCCAGACAGTACCGAAAGACTTACAGCCAGACAGTACCGAGACATTGCTATGTATATACATGTGTGTAGTATACTTACAGCCAGACAGTACCGAGACGTTTCTATGTATATACATGTGTGTAGTATACTTACAGCTAGACAGTACCAAGACGTTTCTATGTTTATACAAGGATCAGAGTAACCTTATGACATTTGTCAAATATGGCAATGGACCAAATTCTTTTTCCCAAACAAATATTCATCACTTTTTGGCAAAGCATCATTGACAGGATTTTTAAACAGAACACATTTATTGTCAGTATCAGTAAGTTAATGCCATTTCTGAAAGAAAAAAATGATTTTATAAAAGCAGATAAGTTGTATTATAGAAGATTAGATACCTGTTCACAAAAATATAGTTCAGCAGTACATACAGGTATCCAATGATTTACCTATATTGTACTAACCAAATGATGTGGTTCATTGGCCAATGCTATATCCATGTTATCAGACATCTGTTGATAATTGAATTTATAATTATAAAACAAGGATGCTGTGACCTAGTTTCAATTTATAATACAAGGATGCTGTGACCTAGTTTCATGTTACACTTTACCACCTCTTACACAGTTGTACTTACTATTTACAGTTTTACTGGACTGATGGAAAAACTCAATCTACCCGAATTGGACTTCTAACCATATCTGTAAATTCTGTCACCGTATGTGTTGTAGGGGTTCGGTGTTGTCTGAACATGGTAGTCTCTTTGCCTTGTGGAGTAATTTGCATCTTCCTGCTTTGGTTTTAAATATCTTGAATTATCCTCTTCAAATTTGGAACTGTTTTTCCTTTTTCTTTCATCTCTACGTATTTCTGTTCCAAACAGCACGGGCAATTTTATTGGCGTTTTGTATACGAAAAAAAATCTGATTTAGGCATGTGGGATTTTAATTTTATGTAAATGTTTGTATATTTCTGCAAGTGGAATATAAAGCTTTTTCATGTGAGAAATTTTCAGATTTGAGTTCAGATAACCAAGATTAATTGTATATTGTATTAAGATTGTTGGTGTTGTCTTGTGTGTAAACTTTATCTGTATAATGAATGCATTGAGGTGACCTTTCAGAAATGAAATACAGTAAGACATAACAAATCCCGGGGGACCTAAGTAATTGATTTTCTACATAAAAAATATTCAAAATGAATCCCAAAGGACATGAGTATTAATTCTCTACAGTAAAACGTGGTTATAATAAGTCTAATGGGAGACAACAAATTACTCCATCATATGTAAATCATACAGGATTTGGTGTTCATCGGACAATTCCAAACAGATGACACAACTATCCAGTGTTGTTTCTTCCTAAATTCTGAAACAGCCTGTTCCTATATGAGTTTGGAAAATAAAACAATATTTATTGAAATTGGGAAGATATTCTGCATTATTTCTTCATTTTGGGAAAATAAAGCACTTTTTGATGAGGGGAAGCACCCATTATGTCTGTAAAAGTGGGCAAAAATATCACTTCTGTCACTTCGTTATAATCCAAAATTCACAAAAGCATGTTTTACTGTATTTCAATGACAGTCATAACGTCCTAAACTGTATGAAAAAGTATTCTTCTGTATGAAAAAAACACTGTTTAATATCTTTTGATAAGTTATATTGGCAAGTGTAATATGTAATATCTCAAAGATCACCTTTGAACTCGGTGAATAAATGTCTTTTGATGTAACATACAAGTGAACTATTGGGCTGCACATTTCACATTCTGTATCACAGTAATTAGCACTCAATAACATTGTCTGCAACTTTTACTTCTAAAGAATGAATCTATGTGTTATTTATAGTTTACAGATTCCACTCTATGTCACATTTTCTGTTACTCAGCATGGCTTCAACTACATGAAAGAAGATAGCATTTACTATTTCTGTTTGCTTTTCTTTCTTTCTATGCATGCTTAACAACTGCCTCCATTCATTTCTCAAACTGAACTTAAGGGATATTCAATGTTATCATTAATTAGCCGATTTAGACCATTACCAGATCGTCACCAGAGCTAGTAGAGATACCAATGGAGAGTTCCTATTCATGATGAAGCACTATATAACCTTCAAAGTGGTCTCCTGAAGGTCGTTGTTCAGTCTACAATTGTTCTCTCTAAATGTAAAACAATGTAACAGGTGACCTATGGAGGTCAGAGTTCACGATTAAGTAAATGATAACCTTAACACTCTGAGGTCAAAGTTCATATATATAAACCTTTGTAGCTCTTTTGGTGAGATATCAGTTACCATATATTACCAATAAAGAAAGGTCAACTTTGTAGAAAATTTTAATCTGGGAATAGACGTTGTGATTTCTGTACCATACTAAAACATCAGTATCCCTGCATAGATGATAAATAGGTGTCTCTCCCTTTATAAATGGCCTCCGTCGACGAATGTTAATTGGTAATATAATAGTCATAGCACACAACTTCATGTCTGTTTAGGGGCCACAGTGGCCGAGTGGTTAAGGTGTTTGACTGTCTAAGCTCACTAGCCCTTCACCACTGGGTCGCGGGTTTGAGACCTGCTTGGGGCAGACGCCAGGCACTTCCAGCAGGTCGATGGTTTTTCTCCGGGCACTCCGGCTTTCCTCCACCTACAAAACTTGTCGCCTCCTGAAGTTTGTCCAGTCATTGTCCAATCAGTCCAATTTTAGCGTGCACAGTTTCAGTGATTATTTTTCAGCTGATGCTTTTAAAGAACTTCACAGAACAGCTTAAGCTTCAATCTAATGACTAGTTATAGATTTTGACAAACCACAGTGAATGTTGTTAAGCAATTTGTGTATCATGTAATCGATCACGTTTCCACATATAGTAAATATTTATTTTAATTAGTAGCATTCAATTCTGACTGGCTGGGACATTGAGAAACATTTCTCCATTGACTGGTTGGATTTTAATGATTGAATTTGAATAGAAACTCAAATGCTTTACTTCGGGAGTGACATTTGAATACTGATGTACCCAAATCTAGTAAACCGTAGATTTGTCAATAATCAATACCTGTGTATTATCACAGGGTTGTAGTTCCACCAGTGTCAACCTAGCAAGATAAAGCACACTTATTGATGTTTCAGGTGCACTACAGTACAGCTATAGAATACTCATCAGTTGGTTAACTTGTATGGTTATTTGTACACAAAGGCGTTAAGGGTTTCGATCAGTGACTGATTCCAGTATTATTGATCACTTACGTCACTGCTTACTGAGTAGGTTTAGGATGTACCAAGTTTATGAGTGGTAGGCTGTTTTATGTTTATAATACAAATAATCATGTTGTATTGTCATAATTTTCACAATATCAATTGCACACGGTAATGACGAGAGCAATTAAAAACTTGGTATATGACACTGAATCCCAATAAATTAATTATGAAAATATATATGTATTCATAAAAAATCTTGGAAAAAGGATCATAGTCTGAAGGGGCCGCGGTGGCCAAGTGGTTAAGGCTTCCACTAGCCCCCCACCACTGAGTCGCGGTTTCGAGGCCTATGTGGGACATTCGCCAGATACTAGCTGCAGGTCAGTGGGGGTTTTCCGGGTACTCCAGCTTTCCTCCACCACCAAAACCTGGCATGTCCTTAGATAACCATAGGTGTTAATAGGACCTTCAACACAAACAAACCAACTCTAAAGCGCTTTACAGTACATAGATATACAATTAATATAATTATCATATGCATTAATCAATACATTTTTTGAGGAATTTGCAGGAGCTGCCTAAGGCAGGCGCTAACTACTAGTCCTATGCCACCTGGCTAATATCTATCTATGTGCTAAAGGACTCAAAATCAGATAATAAATTTGTTTATGAGTAATGAGTGTGTTGCTTAAGAAGTGATTGCCTTGTCTAGTACAGAGTAGACGGAGAAGGAATCCTTTATTTAACTGTTACATGGTACAGTAGATAAGAGATGTCCAGTGGAGAGTGGATGTGTATTTAACTGGTGTGTAGGATTAGACCATCACACTATTGATTTCTCCGTGTCCGAGGCACCACTCCTCTGGAGCACCAGTTTGTCACTCTGAATCGGTCCTACAGTGGTACCTAATATCACAAATGGCAATGAAATATTGATCAAAGCTTAGAGTAACACTTAAAGAGAAGGCGTAGTGGCCACAGGCTCACTGGCTGTCCTCATATCCTCTCTCGTCCGGCGGTCCCAACAGGCCATCATATCACTGACATGTGGACACACAGAGGCTACATCATGTAATTGACCCAAGCTAGTGGGTGTGCTGTTCTAAATGGATTAGTCAATAACAGGTCACACCTCTGTCTGATAATCATTGTAAATACAGGCATCTATATCTGACACAGGGGTTTGTGTATAGGCTACTAATCATTATAAATACTGGCATCTATATCTTACACAGGGGTTTTGCTATTTATCAAAAATGTGCTCATATATAATGTAAGTTGTTTTGTTGAAGATATTTTACTACAAATTTTAACGTACAACTTAATCTTGTGGCTAATGTATTTTGGGGAAAAGTAGCATCTGTGCATCACAGTTTAAATTTCAAGTTAAAATAATTTGACAGTGCATGGTGTAAACTTGTTATAAATCTGGAGATTGAATGAGATTGAAAGTCTTACATTGTGTAGCATGTTGTTCACGTAGTGTTCACAATAAAAACAAATCTACTTCCACATGTTTATCTTGTTTTGTGTTAAAATTATGAAGCCAAATTGTGTTTAGATAGCACTTTTATTAAATGTTTTTCAATAGTATTCCAACTTTTGCATAGATATTTATAGGAATATTATTCATTTTGAAATTCACATTGTTCTGATTTCTACCATGAGGATATAATAGTTTTAAAACTTGTGTGACTAAAGTTGACAATAAGTGGTTACATTTCTGTTTCAGTTTTAAGTTTATGTTTGGTGGACCACCTAACGACACACGACACAGGACTAGAAGCCACATCCATTGACATCTCTTTGGGCTGGAGGACAACCAAGAACTCTTCTGTGACTTTGATGTCAACATGGCAGCTACCTGGTCACATTTCCTTGGAGATGACATTTCACCTGTTGAACTATTGGTCAGCAGTGTCTGGGATACACCTGATGCATCATGGGACCAAAGCTTGTTATGAGTTGTGATAATTTTTACATTGTTACTGTAGAACAGGCTATTTTTGATATTTGATGATGTCTACATATTTGATATTCTAAATTTTGACTTGCTGGATCATATTATTAGCATATATCTGTGATACTATTATACATGTCTTACCGTAGTTACTAGTAAGTTTGTACTGTAGCTAGCGTGTTTTAACCCTTTCACCACTGTAGACCATACTAGACTCATCCATATCAATACATGGGAGAGTCTACTAAAGTTACTTAGGGGTGAAAGGGTTAAATAGTATTATACCCTAGGTGATTAATTTTGTTCCACTAATTTGAATTTTTACCAAATTTAGATAAAGTCAAATGCCATATTTTCGACAACACAAAAAAAAGCTGATGAGGAAGTTTTTTTACTTCACAAGTTATACCTGTTCTACAGTAATGAGGCTAGATCTATACTCTAGTAACCATGGTTTAGTCCGAGTACCCACACCCTATACTCTAGTAGCCATAGTAACCATGGTTTAGTCCGAGTACCCACACCCTATACTTCACAGCTAAATCTGATATTGAGATTTAATCACTGTTAACACCAGGTATCCTTAGCTCTAAATTTGAAAAACATGAAAATGCAACAGACTTTATGCCATTATACTGCTCTACCACATCAATGGCCTTGGATGATTTTAACATCGTAGTTAAACAAATGTATCCTGCTAGTGCTATAGATCATGTCGGTGTGATCATGCCATAAATAAGGATATTATGTTAAAGTTCATCAAAATAAGTCATCTGGATCACCATTGCTTTGTTAAAACAATGGATCTCAACAACAGATTAGCAGTGTAAGTATACTGTCCGGTTACCTTGGTGATCAATTAACAGAAAGTGCCACCATATCATGCTACAATGCTCTAGAAGTATATGTGTGACTTGCGCATGTATATACAATGTCTGTGTGTGGGATTTATGAACAAATGGCCAAGTTTATGTTTGCATATGTATGGCAGTCATGTTACTGATTATGTTTAATTTTGTTATTTTTCATTTATGTTACGTAATCATGTTGGTACCAGTATACCTCACTTGATAATGTTAGCTATATATTTATAATCATGATCTGTATAAAAAGTTTGAAGAGTCTAAATTAATTTATTTCTTCAAGTAAATTTCAATAAAAAAAAAATAGTTATAAAGAAATCATTGACATCTAAGAAAACATTTTTTCTTCTCTTTTATTGATTTGAAAAAGATTTAGAATAAATAAAAGAACATAGACATTTTATAATCAAAATCTATAAATGATTAACAAGTGTTTTTTTTATATTTACATGATCTATATTGTATTATTTCAATTCGTTGGTTTCCTCATATACTTTTCTTTAATAGATGCTTTTTTACTATCATTTTTTTATATGTTCATAAATTTCACTAAACTGCATGAAGAATTCCTCCGAAATTTCAGCATGAAATGCTTTCCTATAACAGAGAGTTCCATCCCATGCATAAGACTCTTCAATTGAGGAGGTAAGGTTACCTGAGTGTCTGATCTTCCGGTCCAGAGATGTTTGTGATATGATGAAATATGACTCGAAAGGTTGTGGTTTAGAATATGAGACAATAACTTTTTACTCAACGGTCAGTTTCAATTCAGATTTATTTAATACAATGACAACACAATACGTTGCCAACAAGTTAAAATGATTTCTACAACAATGGATTCTTGGATGTCATCTGTCACTGCAATCATTTAAGGAGATAAATTTTCTAAATATAGAATGTATTTCTGTACAACACACTAAATGGTCACCTAAATGTAGTAGTCTTACAAAAATCACACTGTTACAAGATGTATCAAAAACACAACATTCTCAGAAAATGGTTCAGGTGTTAGAATCAAACCAAAGTTGTGTGATATATGTGATGAGTGTAGTTATATGACTATAAAGTGGCTGGTTAGTGTTTTATATAAAAATAACAATTATTTTTCACAAAGTAATCCCATACTAAATCAATATGAACAAATGTTTTGATAAAATATGTATTTATATCAATGATATTTTCCATATTTACTCATTCATCCCTGAAATTTCATAATGGACTATTCCAACCTTTGAATTGGAAGAGTTCAAATGTGTCTTCAGGGGTAAATGAGTTAAATACCTAAACAAGACAAAATATAATCATGAATGATAAAGCTGACTGTTGAGTTCAAAAACATTTCCATTTGTACCAAAAAATTCAGATAACATTTTATAAAGTCACATTGATTGTGTTACTAAAGTTGATAGAACAATGTGTATTCATCTTTTCATGGTTATGTTATTAACCATTGTCAAAGATGCTGTAAGTAAGTATGCACATCCAGAGAGGTGTATAAGAGATTTTGTAGTATGTATTTTACAGTACGATATTGACCTGTGTATTAGTGCAATCCTATTTTAATGATCATTGTTAATTTGTGTACTGTGATAGATTTGTTATTGTTGATGTACAGGCTGTTATTTTACCCTTTCTCTATGTATTGTACACACCAGTTCCATTTGGTTTCTCCTTCAAGCTCAATGAACCTTTTTAGTCTGGACATTTTGGTTTGTGTGTATACCATAACCTTGTATGTCTGGATACGTTGGTTTGTACGTACAGTAAAACCTTGTTAGTCTGGACACGTGACGTTTATGTGTATGGTAGAACTTTGGTAGTCCAGATACTTAGGTTTGTGTATACATCATAACCTTGTTAGTCTGGACACTTTGGTATATGTGTACATTGTAACTTTGTTAGTCTGGCCACTTTGGTTTGTGTATACATCATATTAAACCTTGTTAGTCTGGACATTTTGGTTTGTGTATACATCATAACCTTGTTAGTCTGGACACTTTGGTTTGTAAATACATCATAAGCTTGTTAGTCTGGACACTTTGGTTTGTGTATACATCATAACCTTGTTAGTCTGGACATTTTGGTTTGTGTATACATCATAACCTTGTTAGTCTGGACACTTTGATTTGTGCGTTAGTCTGGAAACTTTGGTTTGTGTGTTAGTCTGAACACTTTGATTTTTGTGTACAGTGTTATCTTGATAATCTGGACACTTTGGTTTTTGTGTACAGTGTAATCTTGATAATCTGGACACTTTGTACATGCAGTGGAACCTTGGTAGTCCAGACACTTTGGTTATGTGTACATTGTAACTTTATCTGTCTAGACACTTTGGTTATGTGTACATTGTAACTTTATCTGTCTATACACTTTGTTTATGTGTACATTGTAACTTTATCTGTCTAGACACTTTGGTTATGTGTACATTATAACTTTATCTGTCTATACACTTTGGTTATGTGTACATTGTAACTTTATCTGTCTATACACTTTGGTTATGTGTACATTGTAACTTTATCTGTCTATACACTTTGGTTATGTGTACATTGTAACTTTATCTGTCTATACACTTTGGTTATGTGTACATTGTAACTTTATCTGTCTATACACTTTGGTTATGTGTACATTGTAACTTTATCTGTCTATACACTTTGGTTATGTGTACATTGTAACTTTATCTGTCTATACACTTTGGTTATGTGTACATTGTAACTTTATCTGTCTATACACTTTGGTTATGTGTACATTGTAACTTTATCTGTCTATACACTTTGGTTATGTGTACATTGTAACTTTATCTGTCTATACACTTTGGTTATGTGTACATTGTAACTTTATCTGTCTATACACTTTGGTTATGTGTACATTGTAACTTTATCTGTCTATACACTTTGGTTATGTGTACATTGTAACTTTATCTGTCTATACACTTTGGTTATGTGTACATTGTAACTTTATCTGTCTATACACTTTGGTTATGTGTACATTGTAACTTTATCTGTCTATACACTTTGGTTATGTGTACATTGTAACTTTATCTGTCTATACACTTTGGTTATGTGTACATTGTAACTTTATCTGTCTATACACTTTGGTTATGTGTACATTGTAACTTTATCTGTCTATACACTTTGGTTATGTGTACATTGTAACTTTATCTGTCTATACACTTTGGTTATGTGTACATTGTAACTTTATCTGTCTATACACTTTGGTTATGTGTACATTGTAACTTTATCTGTCTATACACTTTGGTTATGTGTACATTGTAACTTTATCTGTCTATACACTTTGGTTATGTGTACATTGTAACTTTATCTGTCTATACACTTTGGTTATGTGTACATTGTAACTTTATCTGTCTAGACACTTTGGTTATGTGTACATTGTAACTGTATCTGTCTAGACACTTTGGTTATGTGTACATTGTAACTTTATCTGTCTAGACACTTTGGAACATACTGTATGGTATGTTGCTGTCTAAAGCCACAGAGGCCATATGCAAGTTGCTTGTTTTATTTACAAATGCAAATATAATTTTGCATTAATATTGCTTAAATATTGCATAAATATTTCATAAAATTGTTTTCTGCTTATATTTATTTTTAATAAAACATGTGTGTTCCTTTGTATATCATTTTAATTTCTCCATATATTGTTGCCCTATTTGTATTAAGTTTTGTTGTTTTTGTTGTGTCTGTATACCATGCATTATCTCATCAACATATTGTTGATTTGTTTGTGAGAATTATTATGTATTATGTTTAAAATGCTTTTGATCAAAATATTGTCACACACATCTGTGTCAAATACTTAATTGTTTCAGGGTTTACAAATTGTACCCCATAGTTTTCTCTCGAAGTGTACTTGTTAATTCAGACTCATTTAGTGGGTAATAATTCACAACAGTGTCTGAATACAATGGTGAACTATCAAATTCCTCTAACATATTTGTAAAAATAATTTTATCAAACTGCTATTGTCAGTATTTCTGTATAATTTAGAAAAACAAATCTCTGGCAGTGTATCAACTGAGGGATTCGGCAGTGAAGAACCCCTGTACCACTGCCAAAAACTACTGTAAATCTGATGTTTTTTTGACATGATGATATCATTTCTGAAAAAAATAATCATACATTGTGAAACTTTCATGAAACTAAAAGAAAATGAAATAAAGACAAAATAATCAACAAGAGTTACTGTGTTCTAAGAGCAAAAATGCAACGGGGTGTGACAAGGATTCTAGGTCTAGGTCTCCGATCATTATATTGCTTTAACCAACTGAGGTTCTTAGTCAGTGGTAATATCCTGGCCAAGTCTAGCCAAAGTTATATCCTAAGGTCAGATTTGAACCTTACCAAATCAAAGACTGGGCAAGTCCAGTTTAAATATGTAGGGGTGATTGAGTTAAGAGGAAGTTCAACCTATCGTGGAACTCTCTAGTTTTTTGTCTGCAGTGGGACATGGATCCTTAACAGGAAGAGATGTTTTAAGATGGCGTAGCCACAGTTAATACTAACAAATACTTAGTCATTAGTGAAATATCCTGTATATATTCTAAACAGGAGAATGTTATTATCTGCTAACAGTTGAGCATTTGACCGCTGACTTCATTATTCGACATACCTCATCCATGACTTATAGCTAGGGATCATCCACTGCATCACGAAAACATTCCAGTTCTTCGTCTTACCAGGCATATATATAATGTGATACGACCACCATTGGTATAGTAGACAGTCATTAAATATTATGATTTTTTAGTAATAATCATTTATATACATTGTACTGTTTGATATTACCTGATCATAGCTATCTATAACCCGTGTGTTACAGTATAATCTGCATCACCTCGCAGTGTTCCCGCAAACACAATACTTATATTATACATGTTGTACATGATTCTAAAATCATATAACAATTATAATTCTTCTTAAAATAAAAAATTTAACAATGAAGTGAAGATCATTTACTGTTCTATAATTAAGTAAACTAGAAAACAGGATTAAGATACTTGATATAATATCTACTTCACAAAACCTACTTGTGTATAACTGATGTCTCGCACAACTTTAGCAAAGGTTAGTGGTGGAGCTAGTCTTGTGCCAGAGATAGGGTTTTATATACAGAGAAAACTGTTAGTTATTTCATTCAATGTGATACAAAACAATGTATCATGCATCAAACTTTTCATTCATTTATCAAGCTTTAATTTCAAAGAATTTTCTTTTGGGCATAATATGGAAAAGTACAAAAAAAATCACTGTTGAATCTGTCGCTTCAATATTAATTATAAAGTCTGTTTCAAGTAATACTTGATTGGAAATATTCAGTGTTAGTTAGTATTTAAAGTATTGTGAAAATCACATAGCTGAGAAACCGACCTGTACACAGGAAATATTGTGTCACATATTGTGATGATTAAGTCATTCCTGTGTGGGAAGTCAGAATGGGAGATGGATGCAACTAGCAAAACTACTAGTGCCAATAAATATTGTAGATTTTACATATACGATCATAGACATTGTATACTTAATGTATTCAATACATACTATTTATATATCATCATTTACATCACATACATAGTATACTTTATCATGTACATAGTATACTTTATCATGTACATTGTATACTTTATCATGTACATTGTATACATTATCATGTACATTGTATACTTTATCATGTACATTGTACACTTTATCTTGTACATTGTATACTTTATCTGATACATTGTATAATTTATCTGGTACATTGTATACATTATCTTGTACATTGTATACTTTATCATGGACATTTTATAGTAAACATCACATAGAGAAGGCTATTTATAGACTGTATAGTGATAACCTGGTAAGATGGAACTCATTATTTAACTAAACACCAATCAAATTTGATGGGTCTTCTGTACGGAAATACATATTGCAATATCAATCATGTTATTAAAGGAAATTGCCAATATAATAAGTTGCTCCTGTAAAAATTATTTCTTTCGCACATGCATTTATTTTCAATCATGAAACTCAAACAAAATTTTCTCCAAAATCAAAGTGAGGGAGATACAATACTTGACCATAGAAATGTTGGTGTTATTTGATGAGTTTTAGATCTTTGAAAGGGAGTTTCACAAGTTCAACAACAGGTACAAAATGAACCATGTATATACACGGGAAAGGATTCCGTTATCTTTTTTACATAGCAAGTATGGTTTATAAGACAGCATATAACCTTAAGACATTTATCTACATTGTACAGATCTTGGTTTTAGTTTTCTTCTAGGAATCCTGTACGATACAGAATAATTCCGTTGTCATGTTTAAGCTGAACCATGTGAGGTAAAGTCAACATATTGACATGAAACACAGACCTGGCTCGACTATTACTGGTTATGTTGTATTGTTAGTTAATCGTGAGTTAAGTTTTACCAGGTATCATCTATGCATTTCTTGAAAAAAGTGTTTATGTGAAAGTTATTGTTTGTGAGGCATTAGCAGAGCTGGATATTATTTTTATTGCTTGCTGTTCATTGATAATTTTATACGGAAGATACAGAAGTATATGTATTAAAATTATAGTACATGGAGATATATCATGGTCAATGTATAAAATAGTATTACTTTATATATTGGTTGGTTATGTAGTGAATAGCAGTGTTAGAGTTATGATTCAGGGTACAATACATATATTTTCAGAATAAGATCACAAGACCTCCCCAGTTTGTGACCTGTAAATATACAGGCTAAATGTGACTTGTAAATATAGAATAGTATTAAAGAAAAGGAAATAAAGGTGCCACCTCAAAAGTTTTTACCAACAAAATAAAGTCCAAGAACATTAAACCACGAAAAAGAATTACCTACAAATATACCATGTTAAACAGTATTCTGTTTGACTTTTGATAAACCAGGGGGGATTATTCCTTACAATGTGCTCAGTAATACAGTAGTTTTAAAATTGCTGAAACTAATAATACAGACAACCTCACATTTTAAGCTGTAAGTGTGTATTTGGGTGTAAAATTGTATGTGACTTCAGTTTTTAGTAGCTTTTTTTCAATCAGGCTTGTGATGTGGATTGAAGCTTTATGAAAAAGACATTTTTGAGTGATTGTTGAGAAACAAACAACTAAATATAAACACGAACACATATCTTTAAAGTTAGATACCTTGTACCTACTTATTGTAGAGGTCACACCACAAAAAATAGTACCTTTATTTGACCCAGTCATCATACCAAGGCTCCGACCAATGATTCTACCCAATCGGGGTAAAGAAGGAAAGACAATTAATGAATTATCTTTTATTTAATAAGGGGTCAAATGAGGTTAGAGGTTTTTGTGCAGTTGAACTATATGTCATGCACTTTTATGTTGATGTTAGGTGTAAAGAAATAATAAATTACCGTACGATAGAAATAAATACAAGATGTTGCAGGTGTAGAATACTTTATTTAGTACTGGATGTTATCATGCTGACTGGATATATGCTGTTTAAAAGTGACACATGTGTATAAGTTCTAACCATATGCTCTAGCTTGTTACATATGAATAAAGTGTACTCTGTAATACCAGATTGAATTGTTGTGTTTTATATTATTCTGATGTTCATAATTACTTTATACAGTGGCAGATGCAAATAGATTTCAGGAGGGGTTCAGGCCCCTTACCTAAAACCTGGCTGTAAAACTAAACAGGTCCATCAGCATTTTCCATATAATTCTTCCTCTCAATTATGACCATACCGATCAGATTGAATGTCCTCTCATAGTCCCGAAGAAGTGTTAGGTTTTCGGGTCCAATTCAAAATCCAAGATAGCTGCCATGGCTCATCATTGGCTTTGACAGTAATTTGCTTTTTGTAAACACAATGTTAACAAATAATCTGATCATAATTGTTTTCGTGATCGATGCAAAATCTATTCTGATCATATATATTGACTATATATTTTCAGCTTTAGTTTTTTCTAGTTCAGAAAAAACAAGTGTGGTTGAGTCCTTGACTATATTTACTATATGTTACAGGACCAGTCAAGGTCAGCATTCTCATCAGAAGTTGTAGTGATCACTATAGGAAAGGTTTCCAATTTAGATGTACACCCAACACCGGCTTTCCATCCCATCTTTAGACACATAAATCTATATTTCTTTTCTGCTGTATTCAGCCAATTTCCCTGGATGATTATATACCTATGTGGTAAGGAGGAACCCTTTTCATTTTGGGTTAAAGTAGGCAAAGTTGACATTACCGTATTTGCTGTAATATGCACCTGGGACCTTTAATAATTTGCTTGAAGAGGAGCACTTATTATTTGAGCTCAAAATATTTGAGCAATCATTGGAAAATATTCTCCATAAACGTACTTCTCCTTGGCCTAAGAATGTTCCAGGCTAAATGAAACTATACTACTCTAGCCCAGCTTATTGCTGGTCAAATATCACCGAAGGCCTCCTTGTACTGCGGAAGAAGTTGTTTAAAAGATATTTATATATTTGACCCGTGACCGTGAATGTAGGTCAAGGTCATTAATTTGAGGAAACTTTATAGCACTCTGTCCAAGGTACCTACTGGCCAAGTATAATAAAATCTATTACCTAGCTGTAACTGAGCGAGATCGTGTTATGTCAGTGGAGGGTTAAGATTCTGTAACATAACCCCAACCGAGGCGTAAGCCGAGGTTGTGATGTTACAGAGCCTTAGCCCGATATTGAGATAACCTGATCTTGCTCAGTTACAGGTAATTGATTTTTTTTCTCACACCTTTTATTTCGAAAAAGAACTATTCAATTTTGCTAAAAACTACAAGTATCCCGCCTTGGGCCTCAAATGATGATGACCTCTTCACTCCTTAATCTACATTTGAATGCTTCCGCGTAAAAACTTAGTCCGCCCTTACATAGATTACAACGTATTTCACAGTGTAGATTATATTTTATCTACAACATCAAAACTATAAAATAACAACATAGAACATCTATAATGCAAATTGTCAATTTCAAGCAGTTAACGCGGGATGAATACATTGTAGTGTAAAAATTCCGCGAAATGTCACGTAAAGGTACAAGACAGATCGGATGAGATAGAAAAATCTAGCATGGGGTATAATGTGGGACATCTCTGTCTGAGGTGCGAGAATCACTCTGGGCCTCCTGGTTATTCAGAAGAAGTTGTTTAATGGTTTTTACATATTTAACCCCTGTGACCTTGAAAGTAGGTCAAGGTCATTTATTTGAGGAAGTGTTATAGTACTCTGTCCCAGTTAGCTACTGGCCAAATATCATGGCTCTAGTTCCTACAGTTCTTAGGAAAAAGTTGTTCAAAGAAAAAGTTGATGGACGACCAACAACACACCATACCATAAGTTCAACTGACACTTCATGCCACATAAGCTAAAAAGTGACTTATGATGGAAAACGTGTATTCCAAGAGTTTGATACAAAATACTAGTACTGAGTTGTGGAACGATCATTAATATTGTTATCAAAAGTCAAGGTTACAGTAACCCAACATGTGAAAGAAATTCTGGACTCATAATAAGGTGTTTCCTTTCAGAACTAGATGACATCCCAGAGTTTAAGTAGGAAACTCTCCAATTCATGGTCAAATGTCGCAGTAAACAGTGATGTATAAAACATTGAATATCACTGATGGAAAATATCACACACAAAAATGTTTCCAACCTAGACTTGATAAATCTACAGAATGACGGGGAACCCTAAAGATTTTGGGTTAAGAGGTTGAAGATCATGATCACTTAGGTGCATGTGTTGAATCATTTCCAGTTGTAAAATTGTGTTCATTCCAAGTGGGACTCGGGAGTAAAAGTTCAGTGTATGCCGACATTAGTGTAACAATCTGATAGCCCCTCCACCTAAGTAAGCTACAGGACAAACAGTATGATGGTAGGCAAATAATTTCCGTAGCAAATTGAGAACACAAAAGTCAAACACTGAACAACATTAGCAAATTCAATATTTTATTTGAGTAACTTTCAAACAATTACATGTGACAATATCTATCTGATAATATTCAAGACAAACCAGTCACATGACAACATTCAACCATCACACAGACCTCTCTCTGTCATTCATTACCACACACTCTTGTGTAAGTCACATGACTACTGTTCCCTTCAATCACAAACCATCCTCCTTCCAGTTATATAACAGCCAATGAAAACAAACCAGAATGAATATGAGCAATAATGAACATCAACATCTCAGATAACCAAACATAACGACCATACATAACAAACATGTGACTAGATATAAATACAGTCACAGAAACTGTGGGAGGATATAGATACCGGTATACATACTCGTCCATGTGCTAAATGTTGTTTAGGGAAAATCGATAAATCCAGAACCCTATAGAGTTATAGAAAATCGGTGAATCTAGATCCCCATGTTGGTTTCATTTAAAAAACTTACACGATAAATATCCAAATCTGTGTGTTTAATGCAATTCATAAAACTGATCAATCTGGATCACTACATTGATTTTATTTCTAAAATGTGTCTGGTATTTAACCTATCCAGAATCCTATGTTTACCTTAGTTATAAAAAGGATAAATCCAAATCCCTGTGTTTGATGTAGTTTATAAAATTGGTAAATCAAGTTCTTACGCTGATTTCTTTAAAACAGGTAATTTCTTGATCAATGTCGTTGAGAACAGAGATCAATCTAGAATCCTGTGTTGACTTCATTTTAATCATGTATATATCCAGTCCCCTGTGCATAACCTAGTTTATAAAACTGGTCTAGATCCCTGTGTTGATTCTTAAAACATGTATTGATTCATATCAAAATCCCTGTGTATCATCAGAGTGCAAGTAGTCTAGATAATTGAAAAGAAATGTTGTATTACCGGTAATGTACAAGAGAATCAGATGACAATATATACCATCTTACATTGTTCTCTCCAATATTGACCATTTCCACAGTCAGACAATCGGATAAACATATGAATTGTCAATTATACATGGGCCAGAACAAAAGAACTTGTAATGTTATTCAAAACTAGAAAAATTGTGAATAACTGATTTTTAGCAAGATTATTTCTTATGCATTAATTAAGGAATTCAAATCCATGAAAACAATTCATATGAAACAAGATTGCAAAATGTTTATAGTGACTTCCGTCATGTCCAAAGTTGTGATCATCTGTTGAGCTGGATATTACTAATAAGAAATACCTAGAAGCATAATTAGCAGGTAGGAAAAGAAAAGTCACGACAGAGATATCTCAAGACTGTCAAACACAGGAGTTACTGGTAAGATTACGGACAGTGTTAGGACCTAAGGTAGGAGTTGGTATTTTAGATGGGATAAATTACTGAACTTCTTAGGAAGCTGATCAAAAAGTCTGGTACATCAATTTAGGTTAAGATATTTCTTTCATTGAAATCTATATCAAACCAAATAATACAAAAAAATTGTGCACCACCTACTTTCATTTAGAACCCCATTACAAGGTTTTATTTCTATTTACCTTATATACTGTACTGCACTTAAATTTTACTTAATAAAGCTTTTAAGGTTTTGTTTCAAGAACAAAATTCAGGGTTCAAAATTTGTGTAACACGGCTAATAGTTTTTAAGAAAATATTTTCATGTCAGAAAAATAATGAAATAGCATGTTTGCATGATATAAGCAATCTGAAACACTGAGTAACCTTAACCCCTGTGTAACTTGAGTAGACTCATTATGGTCTACAGTGGTGAAAGGGTTAAACACTGATAATATACCTAATTCTACACAGAGTTTGGTTAGAAATACTCTACTATGGTTTATGTGTTATAGTCCTTTGATGATGGAAGCACCGAAAAAATAATCATGTTAAATTGAGGCAGGATTTTTTATCTCCACACAAAACTGTACCGAGTGTAAGATGAAAGGCCACAAACAAACCTGTATATCAGACTGTAATTGTTTATACTTGTAATACAACTGTTTCGGTGTCAAGTCATTGGGTGATGAGATCTAAATAAAGTAAATAACTTAATGTAGTAACTATATACACACATCGAATAAGATTATTGTAGTCACTGCTACTTGGTAAAGATATAGGTACACAACACTGTCCTCAACGGAATATTGGCTTTCACTTATTACATGGTTCCAATTTTCAATATGCTTTCAAACAGAACAAACGTAATTTCACACTTAAAAGCTATGAATTATAAACAATCTAATGAAACACAATCAGATGGGTCATGTGACTATAAATGAATACAATGATATCATTCTTCTGAATAAATACATGTTTCACTGTATAAATAAAAAGACGTGATGAGAATAAAACAGAGGATTACATGAAGTACAATTCAAATAAACGTGTAAATAGGTTTCTTTACAACAATCCCGTATACACATCTTCCCTGTGAGGCGACGGGGTATAAAGTTATACTCACAAATACACCATAAAGCACAATGTTTGTTCAATATACCTAGGTCACAATTTTGTGAGATGTATAAGCTTCTATGTGAAAACGACAATGATTAAATAATTTTTAGATATCTTTTTTTCCCCCTTTTCATTTTCTCTCTTTTTATCAATTATTTTGTGCTTAAATTCATTTGGTTTTTCAACAGAAAAAGAAAAAAAACCACTTCATTTTACAAGAATTCTGTGGGAAAATGAATATATTTAATTAATAAATTTCTTCCAAGAATTTCTAGGTTTTGTGAAAGATGTTTATACATAAATCAAGAGCATCAATGATATAAACTGTCTCCTACATGTACACAAGTCACACATTCTATCGCATACTATTTGGCCACAGCTATAAAACAGACATCTCATTCTAATGTCTATTTTTTTTTTTCAAACTATGAAAACAGAAAACCCAAATGACAAGTAAGATCACCTACCACCAGAAAATATCACAAAGAGAGACATATATGCTTCCATTTAATCAATGTATCAATTTACAGATAGCCTAGATGTGACTTACATCTACGCCAGCTTTAATATACTTCTGTGACAGTGTGGGCGTAATATTGTTATACACTGTGCGCTATAGCTTTTGTGGGCGTGACTGTTATACTTCATGTCTGGAAAAATAAAGCATCACAGATCCTCACTCAAAAAGTGACCGAAAACAAGCACTGTCTGACGACGCACTCTTTAGGAAAGTACTCTCACACAATCACAAAGGAATGACAGAAACAATTCAATAATAACGGCAGGAAAGCTTCATGGAACACAATGTTGAAAGACTTCGGGCATTGCTATGCTCTGTGCCACTACATAGTGTGCACCAGCTGTGTAACAGTAATCCAGCCATGTTTTACTGTGAACATTTCTTATATCCTGTAGCTGTCTGCTATACATATATACAGTAAGTCACAAGAAAACAGAACTGGTAGATTGTTTAAAAGATGTTTTTGTCACACAAATACAACAGGTTCAGTTACTCCATACTCGCTCCTCCGCCCTCACACACTATGTGTACTAGCACACCAAAGCACCATTATAATTCGCCATTTGACCACTGTTCGATGGCATGCATAGTTGTACTGGTCCACAGCTAGTACACATTCAACTTAAGACCTATCACACAGAACAGTTGCCACACTATAGGAACTATAAGACAGAATAGTTGCCACACTATGAGACCTATAACACAGAACAGTTGCCACACTATGAGCCCAATAACACAAAACAGTTGCCACACTATAGGACCTACAACACAGAACAGTTGCCACACTATGAGACCTATAACACAGAACAGTTGCCACACTATAGGACCTATAACACAGAACAGTTGCCACACTATGAGACCTATAACACAGAACAGTGACCTTATTAGTAAATGATCCTATCTTTCCTCACTTCACATCACACTGAATCACATTGTGCACTTTTACGGGATCACAAAGTACAATTTGTAATAACAATTGTACATTTTCAATGTCATACCCAACCTATGTAGAATCATGAGTCAATAACTTAACTAACCTCAATATCAACAGACAGATGTTGTACATCCATCTTTTGACAAAACTCTAGTCTACTTTTTCCTTGGCGACTTTTATGTCTCTAGTGGGCATCACTTCAAACATCAATCCACCAGGTGATCCCTCAAACCTGTCAAGTCACAATCCACCAGGTGATCCCTCAAATCTGTCAAGTCACAATCCACCAGGTGATCACTCAAATCTGTCAAAGTCACTATCCACCAGGTGATCCCTCAAACCTGTCAAGTCACAATCCACCAGCTGATCCTTCAAACCTGTCAAGTCACAATCCACCAGGTGATCCCTAAAACCTGTCAAGTCACAATCCACCAGGTGATCCCTCAAACATGTCAAGTCACAATCCACCAGGTGATCCCTCAAACATGTCAAGTCACAATCCACCAGGTGATCCCTCAAACATGTCAAGTCACAATCCACCAGGTGATCACTCAAATCTGTCAAAGTCACTATCCACCAGGTGATCCCTCAAACCTGTGAAGTCTCAATCAACCAGGTGATCACTCAAACCTGTCAAGTCACAATCCACCAGATGATCCCTCAAACCTGTCAAGTCTCAATCAACCAGGTGATCACTCAAACCTGTAAAGTCACAATCCACCAGGTGATCACTCAAACCAGTGATGTCACAATCCACCAGGTGATCACTACTGAATCACATTGTGCACTTTTACGGGATCACAAAGTACAATTTGTAATAACAATTGTACATTTTCAATGTCATACCCAACCTATGTAGAATCATGAGTCAATAACTTAACTAACCTCAATATCAACAGACAGATGTTGTACATCCATCTTTTGACAAAACTCTAGTCTACTTTTTCCTTGGCGACTTTTATGTCTCTAGTGGGCATCACTTCAAACATCAATCCCCCAGGTGATCCCTCAAACCTGTCAAGTCACAATACACCAGGTGATCACTCAAATCTGTCAAGTCACAATCCACCAGGTGATCCCTCAACCCTGTCAAGTCACAATCCACCAGGTGATACCTCAAACCTGTCAAGTCACAATCCACCAGGTGATCCCTAAAACCTGTCAAGTCACAATCCACCAGGTGATCCCTAAAACCTGTCAAGTCACAATCCACCAGGTGATCCCTAAAACCTGTCAAGTCACAATCCACCAGGTGATCCTTCAAACCTGTCAAGTCACAATCCACCAGGTGATCACTCAAATCTGTCAAAGTCACTATCCACCAGATGATCCCTCAAACCTGTCAAGTCTCAATCAACCAGGTGATCACTCAAACCTGTCAAGTCACAATCCACCAGGTGATCCCTAAAACCTGTCAAGTCACAATCCACCAGGTGATCCCTAAAACCTGTCAAGTCACAATCCACCAGGTGACCCTTCAAACCTGTCAAGTCCCAATCCCCCAGGTGATCCCTCAACCCTGTCAAGTCACAATCCACCAGGTGATCCCTCAAACATGTCAAGTCACAATCCACCAGGTGATCCCTCAAACATGTCAAGTCACAATCCACCAGGTGATCACTCAAATCTGTCAAGTCACAATCCACCAGGGGATCCCTCAAACCTGTCAAGTCACAATCAACCAGGTGATCACTCAAATCTGTAAATTCACAATCCACCAGGTGATCCCTCAAACCTGTCAAGTCACAATCCACCAGGTTATCACTCAAATCTGTAAATTCACAATCCACCAGATGGTCCCTCAAACCTGTAAAGTCACAATCCACCAGGTGATCACTCAAATCTGTCAAGTCACAATCAACCAGGTGATCACTCAAACCTGTACAGTCACAATCCACCAGGTGATCACTCAAACCAGTGATGTCACAATCCACCAAGTGATCACTCAAATCAATGATGTCACAATCCACCAGGTGATCACTCAAACCAGTGGTGTCACAATCCACCATGAGATCACTCAAACCAGTGATGTCACTATCCACCAGGTGATCACTAAAACCTGTAAAGTCACAATCCACCAGATGATCACTCAAACCAGTGATGTCACAATCCACCAGGTGATCCCTCAAACCAGTGATGTCACAATCCACCATGAGATCACTCAAACCAGTGATGTCACAATCCACCAGGTGATCACTCAAACCTGTACAGTCACAATCCACCAGGTGATCACTCAAACCTGTAAATTCACAATCCACCAGGTGATCACTCAAATCAGTGATGTCACAATCCACCAGGTGATCACTCAAACCAGTGATGTCACAATCCACCAGGTGATCACTCAAACCTGTAATGTCACAATCCACCAGGTGATCACTCAAACCAGCGATGTCACAATCCATTAGGTTAATCACCCAAACCACTCAAATCAAACAAGACTGCAATGTGGTCACTTAGTTATACATTGTATTTATATAAATGCAAAGAATATAGATATTAAGAGACTGGAATTACTATGTATCACAAACACTTTGATAGTAGTATGGTAATTTTTGTTTCAGATATTTATCAAATAACATGTTGTATACTGTACATATATAAAAAAAAGATTAAATATGAGCAATTATTCAAAATAATGAAACTCCTTTCTTAAACCCATATTCATGAAACAGGAAAGCTTTACCAAATTTAAAATCAAAGCTCTCCCTTTTCTTTGTACACATACACGAGTTCATGGTCCGCTAAAGAGAATGGATTTGCCATGTAGATATATATGGATGTAGAAACGTGAAACATTAAAGGTACATATGAACAAAATATGTACGACTGAAAAGCTGAGGAATACATAGGTTGTATCCCTATACATGTGTATGCCCAAGTCTGTTCTGTCCATGTAGCTGGAAAGGTCCATCCACCTGTAATGATCTTTGGGAATACATTGAAGTGGACCTGCAATATTGAAACCTTTGTGACAAAAAGTTTTTGTTTTATCAGGCCTTCCAGTCCAACCCTATTTCTTAATTGAGTAGCTCTCCTGTACAATTGCCACGGACATAACACCAATCCAAATTAAAATATATTCCGATAATCACAGGTATAAAACAATCCCTAAACAATGAAATCATCTTACATTTGTTCAAACACTTTGATGTTTTATATGATGCAACACATGGTTATAAAAAAATATCAATATTGTCAATAATATCATGTGGTGTCTGGTTAAAGCAGTTTTTTTACAGACACCAGTTGCAGAATCCTGAAGTCCTCGAAAGAGTCCATCCAATTGTGTCTTACTATTAGAGAGCATTGGGAAAATTTGTGTTACAGACCTTTCACAAAGCTTTGAGGTTAAAATCAAAAGTTTGCAAAATAAGCATGATCATCAAAATTTAGAGATTTTTTTTAGCACCCACCCAGCTGATAAATTGCTAAACTTTAACATTACAGACACTAGTTACGGGGAAATAATTGATTCAAACTCAACCCCTAGAGTGCTAAATTATAAATAGCAGTGGTGGCCACAGACTTATGGCCATATATCTGCTATTAACACTTAAAGGGTTAAATATACTTATGTATGGACAGTTGTAAGCGAATGACTGCAAATTAGAAAGAATAGGTCACAACCAAGGATGTTTTATCATCAAACTTCCATAAAAAAATTAACAAGACTGGTATACAGTAGATTGAACACATGGTGTACTGACTGCAGACACGAAACAATTAAAAAATGAACACTTTATGCAAGGCAGTTTGACTGCAATGGCAAGCTCAAAAGCTACACACAAGCGATGGAGGATTATACATTAAATTAATGATAATAATTAAATTATTGCAAAATATATCGGGTACTATTTCCATGAAAGTCTTTCCAGTATTCATTCAATAATAGTATTTTTTGTTTATCACTGATCTGCATTTACTCCCTTCAAAAGAGTTGTCTATCCTGGAGCTGCAGACCTCCAGCGATACTGCAGACCTCCAGGGATACTGCAGACCTCCAGTGATACTGCAGACCTCCAGTGATACTGCAGACCTCCAGTGATACTGCAGACCTCCAGCGATACTGCAGACACTTCTCAGGTGCTGCACGGTACACAGTACTCAAGTACACAGCAGCTGTACTTATATTGAAAAGATACTCTACAGTCGGTAAACATACAGTCAGAATGTTATAAATCCAATAAGTACGGTAGAATTCTTCAATGGTGGAGGTTGGAAAGTACGATCATCTCCTGTTTCTTAAAATCTCTGGATGAACTGTACACAAGCAATTGACAATGACTGGATTTGTGTACAAGGAGTCTGTACAGACCATTTCAAAAACTGGTAATTAACAATTTTAAAGAAATCTTACAGAAGTGTTTTTGTTCACAAGTCAAATAGAGGGAGTTTTGTTGATTATCTGGACACTGATGAAAGTATGTATGGAGCCCTGCAACACTCCAGGTCTAGAAGAGAAGAGGCATGCTGAGATGAGATGAGTCCTCTTCTTGTACAGGGTGCTTTTCTATGTATGTCTGTTTACAGTCCTGAGACAGAATGTTGCATAAGGGAAGGACACAGTTATTTGGAATAAGGCTACCTGTAATATAAAACAGTCAACAAATTGTTAATTTCTATAAATTTCTTTTATATTGCATAAAATGTAATTTAAGAAAGAGATTATGTAATTTTCAAAACCAAAACAGATTTGCATTACAGAGCTTATTATCTATTAAAGAATTTTTAATAACATCACTGATGAATTACAATACATTTAACGTTCATTTTTCAGTAAGATTCCCCATCTGCTTATTAACAGTGGAGTGATGCCAATATCAGTGCACTGTATATGTACAGCTTCCTAAATTCATGGAAAAACATTTTAAAACTTCTTAACAGTTAGCTTTGAAGTATGCCCTGGCCCCAAAATGAAGTTTTCAAGCAAACCTTTTTTCTTAACATAAAACCTGGAAAATTATCAGAATATTTCATGGTTGCAAATGTACCATGTATCTAAGTAAAGACAATCTAATGCTTTTATCTGAAATCAATATTAATTTAGTTTCTTACTAACCAACAATTCTTTGGCCACTGTCTGTCCGTAGACGTATGATTTGCATCTTTGAGTTAGCTCCCCCTGGCATTGAAGCAAGGACGCCCTCTACCTTGCTCCAGACACTGAGAACTGACCCGCTAAGTACATGGAATGTTCGACTCCTGAGTCCCACCTCACATGGCAGGCCCAGGCTCACCTTTTTACAGTTGCCCTTCCTGTAGATAATAAATTATTGTATTTTTAAGGTATTTATTACAATTTAGTATTTATAAGGTATTTATTTAAGCATTGAACTGTTTTTGTATGGTATTTATGATCTATTTGAATGACACAGCTTTGCAAGCAAACATCATAATGCGCGCTACTTTTGGAAGTTGAATGAGCAGAGAGAAAAGATAGAAATTGTTAAGAATCCAGGCGTGAATTTATTTGTTGATTGCATTGGAACCTGATTACAGTCGGTAGATTCTACAACAGCCTCGTTATTTGACATGTCGTCAGAAACTGAGAAACTGTTTGAAGAGGGTGTTCTTTCGACTGAGCACAGGGGTTCGTTACAAATGTCTGAAATACACATATGCTTGAGTATGATTATGTGTGCTGCGACTCATATAAGTAGGCCTATAGCATGTGTATTTCAGACACTTGTACGAACCCCTGTGGATCAGTGCTGTGGATCAGTGCAGTGTAACAGGCGATATTTCTGATAATTGCTCGAGTGTTAAAACTGTTTTCATTGGTTATTTCAACTGATGTGCATTTTTTACAATATTGCAGACCTTTGTCTTTTTTGTTGTTGTAATAAAAGGTTTTTTGTCATTTTTGAAATATTTTCTCGATTTTTTTTTTACACATTTACAATTTTATTTTTAAATCTCACAATGCCCAGCGATATTTCAGCAGCCGTCATGTTTGTTTACATTGGATATTGTAGTTCCGGTCGGTGTTGTATTAATACGCCAAGAATTATGGTATTTAAAGTCCCATCAACGCCACAGCTTTCAAATAGACTATATAGTGACAATGCCATGCAAATGTAAATATACATGTTTTAATAGTAATAAACTATATGTTACATTTCCTGCAGTATTTTAGATTCCAGATGAAATCAGATTAATCATAGCAGAAAGGGGTCAAACAAATAATTTTCAGCAAGTTATCATCCAAGAAGTAAGAAATGCTTAACACTAAACCAATTAAAGTTCATAGTGAACAATCATTACAATAATTTTGACTATTTCATTCAAATTTTTGTCTACTCTCACAAGCTTATGTACATGTGGCCTTGTCATTCTCCAGGAACGTTCTTAACTTGGAACTATCTTAATAGGCAGAAATTAAATCATCAACTAGGCTGACATGTAAAGCCGAGATGTTTTTCAATAAACCATATGATGTATAATTTGTAGTACTTACCAATATGCATGACTACAAATTGTTGCGGATAAGTTGAACTGGTCATCCCATATAGGCCTGGCAACATCTGGCAGTACCTGTAAGAGAGAGAATACAATACATACAACTGCTCTATTATTTCTTAATACCAAAAGATTAGCTGAACCTACCATTGGCAGCCTTTAATATCTAAGGGCTGTGTTTGTATTGGGGAGGTGGTGGAAGGTACCTGCATTATAACATTATGGGTGTTAAAACCAGTTCTGTCTACCATTCCTGATATTAATCACTTTGATGACTTTATGGGTGGTGGAGTCTCTAACAAAGTACCTCACACATCACCCCTCCCCTACTGTTAGTTTTTTAACAGTCCTAATTTGTGAACTGTCACTGGTCTGGTAGGAGGTACAATAGAAAACTAGAAATATGTCAGAATGACATGAAAGTCACCCCATCATTCTGTATGATCATTTTCCGATAAATCATTGACCAAGCTACAACGGATATATTTCCACCTGTCAATCAAAAGAGTAAACAATTAGCAGGTGTAAATACATGCTGTTCAGGTAGCCATGGCGACACAGGGAATTAATAGGAAAGCATTTCGCAAATATAACGTTAGCGTTGACCGACATCTCGAATACGGGGAGATCTGCGCGCTGACACGGTCACCTGGCATGGGCAGAACAGGTAATTGGAATATAACGATGTTGTTTTCACAACAATAAGTTTCAGAAAAGATCCAATCTTATATACGGATAAATCTTCTACTATTTTTTGTTATCAAATACACTTTTCCAAGTAGTTTTCTGATCGTCTGCAAATCCGACTGAATCGGTCATCGATATCGGCAGAATGTGTACTGTACGCTTAAAGGCAGTCACTCCGACGAGGACCGCCAACAGCCGAATTCGCAAGACATGAAGAACACCAAACAATTGTGATATCAGCGATTCTCCTTCGAAAAGAAAAGATCGGAATGTATATGGCTGTTTTGAACCCGTTGATATTTAATTTTCAAACTCAAACTTTTATCATTATCGGTTCAATTCCTATGGATGTCACTTTGTAAATTCCTGCCGGTTAATAGTATCACGCAACTTCGACTCTTTGCGGTACACAAACTTGCTAACTTCGCCACTTTACCCGTGTCGTTTTGACACATTCCTACGGACAAGATTGAAGAGTTCAGCAAGATTTTACCCAAGAACGACATTTTAACCACAGAGTAATAAATCCGATGTAATTCTTCGATATGTTTCCCAATACGTGGTATTTATCAATTCACAACGTAACGTCCTGAAAAGTTGAGCCTACTTTACTCGAGTTTATTTATCAGATTCTATAGTATTATATGACTTAAATGGTCGTGACCAAGGACTGGTTTTGAATTGTTCTTGAGTATCGTGTACACCCCTTTCTTGACACTTCATTTTCCCCTTAAAAAAGTGTGCACTATACGCAAATATTAACGGTAGTCGTTGGTCAGACATAAAATATCTAAATCAGTCAATAGCAATTTATAATACGACAGTTTACCCCTTCGGGAACCTCAAAGGTGACTGATTCATACTCGGAACATCTTTAGGTTACATGTAATTCCCGTGGGGAATTTGGAACACCTTTAGGTTTTATGCTATTCCTGTTTAAAAAGGAAATCGATATCTGAGTTATCCAAGAGCTTGTAATTAGCGCTTGGTATATTCCAACAGAAGCAAGATACACAACAGCCCTCCTAACAGAGGTCAAAATCTGGGACTGAAACCAAAATTAATAGTCCCCACTGGGGTTCCCCCAGCGGTGACTAAAAACCCACTATGGTAGCTGAAACAGGAAAAATTACAAACCAATCCCTCACCGATATTATGTTGGAAGTTGATATAGCATGTTTCAAACTGGATTTAAGTTAACATGGAACAGTATTCTACCTTATCTATATAACAGCAGACATATTAGTTATAAGCCCAAAATGGTTGGGTGGTCAGGTGGCAGTGGATAGCGAACTTGCCTTTCACCAAGGCGGTCGGGTTCAGTTCCCCGGACAGAATGTGAAAAGTTATAAGGTCACCTGCCCTGCCCGGCCACGTGGGTTTTCTCCGGGTATTCCGGTTTCATCCCACAGTAAAACCCCTGCGTGTTAATATCCCGGCCAACAAGAGTGATTAATATAGGTTGCAATAACTTGTTTCATAATTGTTGTTAAATTCAGGAGGTTTTCACAGTAAGTCAAGAGCTGTGATTTTCTTTTTAATTCGAGAGACTCGAGGACAAAAAGTGAAACCTGACAAGTCTGTAGAAAATTAGAGTCTGACTTATAAAACTGTTGGCTGGTATCTGTAGCCAGTGGATTTTAATGTCTGCCTAGCAGACACACAGACTAAACACTGTACCTTTTTGTACTTTTTCTTGAGATTTGTCAAGGAATCTGTATGGACCTGTCTGCCAGTGTTTGGACGGTATACATTGTACATTTTCTCCTTCTTCTTACTCAGGCCGTAGTACACTGCCAGGACCGCTGTCTTCTTCATGCTTCTCTCCTACACACATCACATAGAGAATTGATATACACCTGTCACCAACTTATATCACAAGGGGAAATATCCTACAGACAACAACTAACATCACATTAAAATATCCTACAGACAACAACTAACATCACATTGAAATATCCTACAGACAACAACAAACATCACATAGAAATATCCTACAGACAACAGCTAACATCACATTGAAATCTCCTACAGACAACAACTAGCATCACATTGAAATATCCTGCAGACAACAACTAACATCCCATTGAAATATCCTACAAACAACAACTAACATCACGTTGAAATATCCTACAGAAAACAACTAACATCACATTGTAATATCCTACAGACAACAGCTAACATCACATTGAAAGATCCTACAGACAACAACCAACATCACATTGAAATATCCTGCAGACAACAACTAACATCCCATTGAAATATCCTACAGACAACAACTAACATCACATTGAAATATCTTATAGACAACAATTGACATTACATTGAAAAATATCCTATTGGCACAAACATACATCACACTTTCTACAGACACCAACAAATATACAAAATCTACATTCTATTATGATGATAAAATGCATATCTATCAAGCAATCAAGGTGTCATATTGGTTTTAGAGAATGATTGTCTAGTTAAACAACAAAACTTAGTCAAAAATGGCAGGGACTGTCAACGGTCTGAAAGATATGGTAAGATCTCAGCTTACACATAAACGAGTTGTTGAGAAACATGACCTACCTGTGTTGAGACGTAAAATCCATCCTCTGAACCTGTGTATTTCCTCCAGATCTCAGAGGCCCCTGTCCACGACATACCCCTCTCCACAGAAAACTGAAAGTTATATACAACAATAAGCATGATCAATATAGAAGAAACTGGAATCATTAGCTCAAACTTGGTTGAATCCCATCTCCCATCTAGAACAAACATTTTTATCCTGGCCTAAATAACGTTTTTTCTTAAAACTATACACCTAATAATTCATCAACTAACCTGGAAATCTTAGGCTTATAGAAACTCTGATAATTCAAATCAACCACTAAATTTCAAATTGTTTTTGATTCCAATTATTTTAATAATAAAGGGAGTGTTAATGTATTCTGAATTGGACATAATCCATGTGTTATGTTTAGATTCATGTCAATACCTTACTGCTCTAAATTCTGTACCAGTTGGCTGTATTTGCCACTTAAATGATTGAAGTCACTTACTGTGGTGAGTTCTGTCCTGGCGGTGTTTGTGGCTGTGTTCCCTACAAACACCCTCGACTCCAGCTTCTTCACACTTTCTCCTCCGGAACCAAGATCTGCAACAGTACAAGATACCTGAACTATTCATCATGAAAAGCAAGAAAATATGTTAAAAGAGGCTATTTTGGCTTTGATGAAATAAAAAAAATACCTCTAGGTAGGTAATGAAATATGTATTTATTGATTTATTTATTGATCAGGTTAGATAGAAATCTCTCTATACTGTCTAAGAACCAAGGCAGGCAGACACACTGAAAAACTGAACATTGTTCACTCCTGCTTTCAACCCATTTTTAACAGGTCCAGATCTAATTCTTCATACAATGTTACAGTATTAACAGTTTAATATGTTACCGAGAATGCCCATGTCCCATCTTCCATTCCTCTTGGCCTCCAAGATGATGGCCATTAGGGTCTGGGAGAAATGCTTGAACAGAGCATTCTGTAAAGCAACCTCCATACCGAGTATCCTGTTCAGGAATTTGCTAATATTGTTGTAATCTGTAACACAAATGGAAATTAAACGCACAAGTTAATTTCATCTCATTTCACAATCTCACTAAAGTCATAATAATAATAAAAAACAAGAGGCCCATGGGCCTTAACGGTCACCTGATATATTTATACAGAGAGTTGATTTTTGTTTTAAACATGAACAGAAATATTATTCAAAGTGACAAAAAGCAATAAAACCACCTTATTCAATATCTAGCATGCAGATTTAAGACTGAAAAGTATTTGAATCTAGCACCTCTGATTCTAAACAAGGAAAATAAAGAAATTTTATTTTAGCACACAGATTCCATTGGGCCCAAACCTACAGCCCTTGGGGGTAGGGATGGCTCAAAATTTACAAAGTATCAAACTGTCAACTTAGGGTTATAATTCCAATCAAGTTATCAACATGTAATATTCAAAGGAGCATTTGCCATTATAAACCATAACAAATTTTGCCCCC